CCATAGAAAGAAGAGGCAATCTGAATAAAATCCCTCCTGATCTCTTCTCCCCAAAGAAAAGATGTCCTCGTCCCCACATAACCTGTGTTTTCTTTGTGAATAGCTCTCTTGCCCACTCTTCTTCCTATAAAAATCTGCCCTGTGTACAACCCTGGTTCACGAGTCACTTAATAAAGCCAAGGAGCTGAAACCGGTTTGGCTCAGTGGATAGAGTGTCAGTCTGCGGACTGAAAGGTCCCAGGTTCGATTCCGGTCAGGGGCATGTACGTTGGTTGCGGGCACATCCCCGGAAGGGATTGTGCAAGAGGCGGCTGGTCGATGTTTCTCTCTCATCGATGTTTTTAGCTCTCCCTTCCTCTCTGTAAAAAATCAAAATAAAATAAAATAAAGCCAAGATCTTCAAACTTACTCAGTAGAATTTTGTTTTTAACACTAATTATGAGGATTAAATGACACAAAGCTTGACACATGCCTAGAATTTAGCAAGCTTTAGTTAAAGTTAGTTATTATTATTGATTTTAGTATTATTGCTATTATTAGAATCTGTCTTAAACTGTACTTTCCTAATAAGTGATGATGATCATTTCACCATTATTATGCCTCTGCCCAGAAAATGGCATATTCCAAACCAATGAAAGAAGTGTTCAGGGGGTAATTTAAGAATTTGTTTAAAAGACAAGTCCCAAATGTGTCAGAGATCTAAATGTCAAAAGGAAACCCACGCCGAAACCGGTTTGGCTCAGGTTCGATTCCGGACAAGGGCATGTACCTTGGCTGCAGGCACATCTCCAGTAGGGGGTGTGCAAGAGGCAGCTGATCCATGATTCTCTTTATGGATATTTCTAACTCTCTATCCCTCTCTCTTCCTCTCTGTAAAAAATCAATAAAATATATTTTTTTAAAAAGAAAACCCACATAAAGTCTAGAAGAAGAAAAAAGATTAAATTCCTTTATATCTGAAAGTCGGAAAATTTTTTCCTAACTAAAAACCACATCCAGAAGTAACAATACTAGAAAAGATAAATTTGAGTACACAATTTAAAAATAATAATTTCATGAAAAATCACCCCGAACAAAATCCAAAATAAATAAACAAACGGAGAAAAGCTGTTTTCAGCGTGTCACAAAGGAGCATGTGACACTTTGGATCCTGGCAGGAATCAAATCCGCTTCCCAGTGGCTCAAATGAAGGGATGGGCAGGGCTAAGGGAAGGAGCCAAAGCTGTGACCTGCGGAGACTCCCAGGGCTGGAGCGATGGGGAATATGTGAGCAGGCTGGGAGCTGAGCTGTTGACCGGGGAGCTAGCTCCCTGAGAGCTTTCTCAGAGAGAAGCTGGGAGGGTTTGGTGCTCTTAATCTTGGAAACGACTGTTTGCTGTTGGGCGCATCTTTTCTTTGTTTCTTCACATTTTCCTTTGGTTTACTTGGGGATATATTTTTTTAAAAGAAATACCCATGAGAATTAATGGTATTTCTGTTAAGAAAGTTGGATAAAAGACTTTTTTCTCTCCTCTCAGGCTAGGGTAGTAGAGGGCCCCTAGTGGCCAATGTTGGAGCTGCAACAGTCCCAGCCGATGACTTGGTGGGCCTAGGAGGTAGATCTGGTGCAAAAAAGAGTGGGGGAGGAAAGGAGGGAGATGGGGAAGAGGGAGAGAGGGAAGAGGGATGAAGGGAGAGAGAGGGAGAAGGAGATTGGGAGGAAAGAGGATTGGGAAAGATTAGGAAGGAGAGAGGGAAGAATAGGAAAGAGAAGAATGAAGAAATGCCAACCTATGATTATAAAACATGGCATATTCAATAGCTGCTTTTAGCAAATAAATACCTCTAATAACTTTATCCAACACTATACAATAATTTGTACCCCCAAAATTAAAACATTTAAGTGTTTTTTGATTGATATAAAAATAACATTTTTTGCAGGAAAATAATATTGCTGAAAGAATTGCTCCAATTACTGTTTGAATGATGGCCACATGCCATCCATAAGCTATAGACTTAATTGAATTTAAAATGTTCCATCACAAATGGCAGTATTCTACCATGTAACTGTAATAACAACAAAAATTTATTAAATGATAAATATTACGAATGGGATAGACAGATACTGAGACATGAATTTATGGTTGAATTATTATTTTCTTTTTTCAATCTTGTTGGGGTGTGTCTGCTACTTATAATGTTACTTGGTGATCACGTGAAAGTTTACATTTGAGGCCATTTATAGAAGGGAGTCCCATCAAATAGCTTTCCTGATCCCAGCCCTTTATTCCCCCTCTTGGTAAATCCTACAGCAAGGTCAACCTGTGACTGCCAAACCTTGCTTTCTATCAAATTACACGGAGAGCCTTGAAAAAATTCAGATTCCCAAGTCCCTCCCAAAACCTGTTAATTAATGTCTCTGGAGGTGGGTTTTCTTCACATTAGCATATGGAACTAGGGTTCTGAATTCTCATTTACTGCTGGTAACAGTTCGTCCTTGTATTATTATTATTTATTAATTATTGTAATCTTTCCATACAAACAATTCTAAACCTACTTTTGCCCTATCCTGCATATATATAGCCGCTTGAAAAAACAATCTGACAATATCTGTTAAGTTAAAATAAATCTACGTCCTTTGACTCAGAAATCCTACTCCCGGGAATCCACCCCCTGGAAAGGAAAACACCAATACAGATTATACATATGCAAGAATATTTATTGAAACATTATCTGTTGTGGCAAAAAACATAAACAAAGTGAACACACATCCATAGAGGAAAGGTTGAATAAACTAGAATAGCCATACTAGGGATTATATTATTAAATAAAAAAGAGTTCACGTTAGCCAGTTTGGCTCAGTGGATAGAGTGTTGACCCATGGCCTGAAGGGCCCCAGGTTTGACTCCAGTCAAAGGCATGTACCTCAGTTGCAGGCCCTTATAGGCTCAATCATTGGGGCTCTCTCTCTCATTGATGTTTTTCTCTCTTTCTCTCCCTCTCCTTCCCACTCTCTCTAAAAAAATCAATGGAAAAATATCCTCGATTGAGGATTTAACAACAACAAAAATGCGTTAAAGTGGTATAGACTGCTCTGGAAGGATTTTTCACCATGTATATTGTTAAGAAAATATACCAATGGGTAAAAACATGTTTTGGAAGTGTATAAAACTATATGTTGTAAAAGTACATTTATTCAGAGACTTGTCAGCTAATATATTTCTCTGAAAGTCTCTGAGAGTTTGCAGTGGCAGGCTTTTATTTCTCCTTTACTAATGGGTTGCTTTTATCTCCAAGTCATGCCACAAGTTGAGAGTAGGCAATGTTTCCTTTTTAAAAATAAATTTGGATGCATTTAACTCTGCTCTTCTCTCAGCTCTCCAAATCCTATGGGTCTTCTATACCCTGTCTCCCTACCCTATTACTTTGCTGAAATATTTATATTCTCATCTCTAGCATGCCCTTCCTCCCTTTTAAGTTCCCCACGGCAAGAATTCTTATTCTGTCTCCTCCCTCCCCTCCACAGAAGGTGGCCTCCCTTATATATTTTATGTGCATATTTGGGGGATGAAGGGTTGTGGGTAGGGCAACTCAAAGAGATGTTGAAGGTAGCCCATTGTTTCCACAGAGCTCTTTGCTTGTAAGGAACAGATGTGAAAGACCCACATCCCGCATGGTTCAGGGTTCGGGATCTGGAGAAGGGGCTGCATGCAAATGAAAGAGACCAGACAAGAAATAGTAATTTGGAAATTGGGGGGCCAGGTGGGAGCCCAGCACAAGAGGAAGGACTCCCCTTATGCTCCGGCCTTGCCATTCTTTTATTCAGTTTGGGAGACAGCTATAGCCCTCAGGCAGGCAGTTTCCAGTAACAGACAATCTTATCAGTAAGGATTTACATGACTGTCTGGTGGGGGAGTTGCTTCAGCTACCAATTGTCTCCACTAAACAGTTGGTGCAGCTCTGACCTTTGCCAGGCTCAAGGGTCACCAGCATCCCAGGCTTCTTGTCCACACCTCTCTGCTAGTGAAGACAATAAACAGGTGGTTTCCCACAAACAGAGACTCCACCAAGGTTTTTCTTTTATTTTAAAAAATGTATTTATTGGTATGTGTGAGAGAGAAACATCAATTTGTTATTCTACTGATTTATGCATTCATTGGTTGGTTCTTGCATGTGCCCTGACCTGGCATGAACTCACAACCTTGGCGAATCAGGACAAAGGTCTAACCAACTGAGTTCCCTGGCCAGGGCACCCCCAAGGTTTTGTAACCGGTGTGTTGTGTGTGTGTGTGTGTGTGTGTGTGTGTGTGTGTGTGTGTGTGTGGAGTGGAGGGGGAGGGTGCGCGAGGGTGGAGATGGAACTCATCTAACCATGAGAAAAAGGAAAGTGCATTCCCAACTCGGGATCTAAATTCTTTCCCTGCTCCTCTATGACTGAGCCTTTGCTTGATGCTTTGACACATTGCCTGCCTGCCCAACAACTTCCTGTGGCTGGGGTTCTGCCTTCCTCTCTCACTGCGGTACTGCCCAAGTCCTGCTCTTTGGCCTCGGATCTGCGGCTGGATCTTCCAGCCTGGATAGCACCTGTGCTCTCTCCATGTTTATCTTCCCCGTGAGAGCAGGAGTGTCTCTGGTTGCCTACTGTGCTCCCGAGGGGCCCTCCTGTCTCCCTGGGCTTCCTCCCGCCAACCATCTCTGGTTCCTCCCAGGCCTTGCCTGGGCCCAGTGGGTCCATCAGTCTGGCCTTCCACCGCTGACCAAGCCCCAGGCTCTCCCGGTCAGGAAACGCCCCTAGATGACGTCACCCAAGGAGTTCCGGGGGGCGGCACGACGCTGACCACGCCCCCCGCGACCGAAGCCCAACCCCTCACCTGGTTCTCCCCGCCCCTTTTCCGGTGCGTCGTGACGTAGACGTGGGTCACGCAGCCTTGGCGCCTGCTCCCGGAAGCAAAAAGCGCAGGGCGGAGAAGAGGGCGGAAAGAAGGGCGGGCGTCGGGGCGGACGGCGGGGCGGGGCGGGGCATGGTAACGGCCTGGAAGCCCAGAGGGCCGGGCCGCAGAGGCGGGGAAACCGGTGTCCGCTGCCGCCGCCGCTCCAGCCCGCTCCGCGCCGCCCCCGCCGCGGCCATGATGATCCACGGCTTCCAGAGTAGCCACCGGGACTTCTCCTTCGGGCCCTGGACGCTGACGGCCACCAAGACCCACATCATGAAGTCGGCGGATGTGGAGAAGTGAGGCTCCGGGCCCGGAGCGGGGCGCGGGGCGCGGGGCGCGGGTCGGGGGTCGGGGGTCGGGAGTCGAGGGCTGGGCTGGGCTGGGCGAGAGCAGGGCGGCCCCGCGCAGCCCCCACCTTCCCCGGGGCGGAGGCCAGGCCGAGGCCGGGCCCCTGACTGGCAGCCTCGGTCCATGTTCGCATCGCCCCTCCGCCCCTCGGTGGGGTTCGCCTGCGTGAATCTGTCGCTCGACCGGGTCTGAGTGGCGCCTGGCTGTTTCGGAGGATCTCTGCCCCCACCTGCCCCAGGTCTCTGCCCCGTCACCTTTGCATCTCTCCTTCCTGAGGGGTCCTGACCTGTTTCCTTGGCTCAGTGACGGGGAGGACATGCTTGCTTGGTTTTTAGCACGTCAGGGCAGGCGCTGGAGATGCGGAAGGTGGGAAAGCCGGCCTCTGCCTTAGCGACGCAGGGTCTCCGGAGGGAGACGGTGATGCCCGGTGCGAGTAACTGGCTCAGAGGCGCGCGGGGTTTGGAGCTCCTGTCGGCGGACGGGGCATCCGGGAGGCTGGGATGCCTGCACCGAACCTCCATCACGGTGGTGGGATGAGGCGGGTGGGGGCTCCTGGAAAGCAGCGGTCCCAGCGGTGAGCGCCGGCGCTGCCTGCGCTGAATCTTGACCAAGCGCAGGTCTGAGAAGATGAGCCCTGCGTTGCTGGGAGAACCGCTTCTGTGTGGTCAGAGCGTGGAGGTCCAGAGGGGCCGGAGTGAGAAGGGGAGCCGGCCCTGGCGGTGCAGACATCACCGAGACAGCTTTTAGGGTACAGGTTAAAGAGTGTTGAATTTTATCGGGCCACCACAGGGATCATACAAAGGAGCGACATTATCAGCTGTAGACTCTGAAACAGGGATTTTCAACCAGGGTGCCGCAAGAATTTTTAAAACATGTAATACCTGACTATTTAGTCAGGGCACTCCCTTAGATTGTCAAATAAAAAAAATGACAGCCACCAACACAATAGCCCTGCGGTGTGACTGAATGCTTTCTCTCTAAAAATCAATTAAAAACCAAAAGGCTTGTTTGGGAGTCTAGGTTTGGGAATCATCACCTTGTAATTGAAACCTGGAGCCTTGGGAGTGAGTGAAAACCATCTTCTAGGAGAGAAGGAAAAGGTCATGATATGGAACCCTAGGGAGCACTGGCTTTTTAATTTAAGATTGAAGTAGAGGGAAGTGAGGGGGAGGGGCAGGGAAGAGAGGGAGTCTTAAAAGAATATTTAGCTGTCTAGTTATAAATAAATACATTAATAAAGTAATATTCTTGCAGATTCACTAAGAAAAATAAGGGAAATGCAGAAAAGAAAGGGAAAAATAATTTCCTTCATCCCACCGTACATTGATTTACTATTAGGGTTTTCCTCTCCTTATCACGTTCTCTGTTACTATCACACCATAGAGGTAAACTTGTGCATGTATAAAGCAGTCAGCTCCCAGTGGTTTACCCTGTAATTTACTTCCAGACTCCAAGAGGGGCTGGATGCATGGTGAATTTTAAAGGCATTCAAATCCTAGGTCTTTAATCTCCTTATTTGTTATTTCTAAAATAGATCTGCCAGACTATATATACTACGTAGTCCTTGCTATGACAAAAGAAAGGCTAGACCTTCACCCAGTCTAAATTTTCTGTGATGTATCACCCAGGGCGTTAAAACCCCCAGGATGCTAAATAAATGGATTAGGGGAAGTGTTGGATTAAGGACGCTTTCTTTAATGATTTAAGACATCTAAATCCCATAGAGGCTTCCTGCCTTCCTAATGGTAATACCTATTTGTTAAGAGTGAAGCTTGGCCTTAGAAATGGCATTAAACCCAGCATGTGTTGCTCAGTAGTTGAGTGTCATGTTTGGATTCCTGGTTGGGGCACTTGCCTGAGTTTCAGACTCACTTCCCCAATAGGGGGCGTGCAGGAGGCAGCCGATCAATGATTCTCATTATTGATGTTTCTCCTTCTCTCTCTGAAATCAATACAAATAATTTTTTTTAAAAAAAGGAAAAAAAAAATGGTTTTAAGATACTATGTTTGGCCAGTGGTTAAGATAGTCTGAATTTAGAACATTTGAGACAGTGTAAGTGACAGTGATTCTTTTACATATGCGCCTGGAATATTTCATAGGACTACTAGGGGTGTACACACTCAATCGAACTTGAGCATGGTATCTTATAAGAATCTTAAATGTGATGGTCTCTGATAAACAAGAAAAAGTTAAGTAATATTTTTTGTTTTCGGTTTAAGAACACAGAAAAGTCTATAATACATTTTGAAAAATTTCCGTAAAATAATTTGGTACATAGAGTAACTGGAAAATTCACTTCCATGGAACCTCTGCTTTCAGGTTACAAGGATCAGAGACCCAAGTTACCTTAAATGATGGGAATTTAATAGTAAGTGAAGAGAAAATTAAACACAGGAATTGTCTCAGGAAATAGCAGTTCTTGTGGCCTCCAACAATAAAGTGTATAAGATTCATGCACTGGGGAGTCAGGGGGCCCCTCAGCCCGGCCTGTGCCCTCTCACAGTCCGGAACCCCTGGGGGGATCGGGACTAAGCCAGAAGTCAGACATCCCTCTTGCAGTCCGGGGTTCTTGCAGTCTGGGACCCCTTGCTCCTTACTGCCCACCTGCCGTGGAGGTGGGAGATGTTCCCGGTACCACCACTGTGCTCACCAGTCATGAGCCTGGCTCACTGCTCCTTAACACTGCCTCCTGCATTGAGCACCTGCCCCCTGGTGGTCAGTGCGCATCATAGCGACTAGTTGCTCTGCCATTTGACTATATGTATGTTAGGCTTTTATTATATAGGATTTCTCCATCTCTGCTTCCCTTGCTGTTATTTAACTTTTTCACCCTCTCCACCTCACGCTGCTCTTTTCTGTCACTTCTCTTGGTCTGTGCTTCCTTTGGCTGTCATTCAGACTTATGAAAAGAGAGGTCAGAGTATACTTCCTTGGCCATGATTCAATTCAACAAGAGTTCTCAGGCTAAAATTGAAGGGCTCCTGCCAGCCCATAGATAATTGCTTTTGGTTAAGAAGCCGAACTTGCATCTCTAAATTGTAAGTCCTGGTTTTGACTGAGGTGATGGGTCATGGGCATGGTGATTTATATACTGTATTTAGCTGCTTTTTTCAGAAGTGAGTAGCTTCCATTTAAAAACCTTTATAAACTCAACTTTCTTAAGGGGGAAGGGAACTGGTGCACCACTGAGGCCCCAGTTAAAGGGGCAGCCTCTACTCAGCTTCAGCCTGTTAGTGCTATGTGGATTGCCAGGCCCAGTATGCCAGTCGTCGTCGTCGTCGTCGTCGTCGTCGTCGTCGTCCTCCTCCTCCTCCTCCTCCTCCTCCTCCTCCTCCTCCTCCTCCTCCTCCTTTCTTCTTTCAAAAAAAAACAGGAGAAAATTAAACACAGGAATTGTCAAAAGAAACCAGAAGTCCAGATTCCCCAAAAGACTCAATTTTTGTTGAAAACTATCAATCATTGTGTGTTTTTTTTTTTAAATATGGAATGCTTCATGAATTTGCATATCCTTGCGCAGGAGCTATGCTAATCTCTGTATTGTTCCAGTTTTAGTATATGTGCTGCCGAGCACATCATTGTGGCAACTATTTCAGATATTGTTCAGGCAAATCAAAACACACCCGTGGATTAATAATTTGTGATCCTGGCTTCATAGTGTGTCAAATAAAACTTTCTTTTCTAATGAGATTGGCTAAATGACGGGCAAGTATTTATTTTAAGTATATTTTTATTGATTTCAGAGAGGAAGGGAAAGGGAAAGAGAGAGAGATAGAAACATCAATGATGAGAATCATTGATTGGCTGCCTCCTTCATGTCCCACACTGGATTGAGCCTGCAACCCAGGCATGTGCCCTGACTAGGAATTGAACTGTGACCTCCTGGTTCACAGGTTGACTCTCCACCACTGAGCCATGCTGGCTGGGTGAGGCAGGGCAAGGCACAAGCATTTATGAAGCAGCTGGCATAATGGAGGAGGCCTGGTCTTACTACTTCCTGGCTCTGTAATCTGTCATTAGGTATCCAAACTCGGCGTTTCTCAGCTCACAAGGTAGTTTTGAGGTTCAAATTCTATCTCAGAAGCAATCTCTGATCATCCTACCTAAAATAGGCCCCCACCATTGCCTTCCTTTATTTTTTTATGTCACCAATAGCGGATAATATATTATTTACTTACTTCTCTGTTTACTGTCTGTTTTTTAGCCCATTGCTAAGTCCGCAGCGCTGGCTGGGTGGCTCAGTCGGTTGGAGCATTGTGCTGTGCACCACAAAGGTTTCGGGTTCAGTTCCCAGTCAGGGCACATACCTAAGTTGTGGGTTTTCTCTCCAGACGGGCACATACGGGAGGCAATTGATGGATATTTCTCTCTCTCTCTCTCTCTCTCTCTCTCTCTCTCCCTCCCTCCCTCCCTCCCTCTCTCCCTCCCTCCCTCCCTCCCTCTCTCCCTCTCTCCCTCTCCCTCTCCCCCTCCCTCTCCCTCTCTCTCCCTCCCCGCCCCCTTCCTGTCTCTAAAATATATATAAAATCTCCCCTCAGGTGAAGGTTAAAAAAACAGATAAAAATAGAGAGAATAGATGATTGAAGCATTTATAGGTTGTACAAAATATATCATGTTAATTAATTTACTCAGTAATGTAGGGAAGAAAAGGAAACCAAAGTGTCAACAGCGTTATGAAATGATCCTACCTGCCCTCTGGTTGTGCGCAGGCTAGCTGATGAATTGCACATGCCATCCCTCCCCGAAATGATGTTTGGAGACAACGTTTTAAGAATCCAGCATGGTTCTGGCTTTGGGATTGAGTTCAATGCTACAGATGCTTTAAGATGTGTGAACAACTACCAAGGAATGCTTAAAGTGGCCTGTGCGGAGGAGTGGCAGGAGAGCAGGTGAGAGTCCGGGCAGTTGTGGGTAAAACCGAGGAGAGAGTTAAAAGAAATACAGTCATGATATTAGGATGAGGGGCTAGTATTATTAAACTTTGTAATTGGATTATTCTAAAATTCATCTTTCTCGTCTACAACATGGGGATTAGTTACCCCACCTCTCTTACATGCTTGTTGAGTTAATTGCGTAACATTGAGCTGAGCTCTGTGGAGTTTCTTTTTTGAGCAGTTAGTGTTCTTTAGTGAAGAGTACACTGTGTACTTGAATGTTCCTGTTTTTCAAGAAAAACGCTGTGATTTGCATTGAAAATTTGAGAACCTTTGAAATTAAGAAAAAATTATTTTCTTTGCTAGTTAAATCAGATGCTATGTACTTGGTGCCTGTTATGTACTAGGTACCTTGAAGGATACAAAGGATAAGGGCTTTAAAAAGGGCCTCAGGACTAATTGGAAAGACTACACAGCCCATGACAAGTTAACCGCAGTAAGTGTGCAGGAAGCAAAAAAAGCCTGTGTTAGTGAATGCTGACAAGTGTATGGAGTAGGATGCTTTACATTGTGTGTGGAATGTAGTTTGGTGTGATAATGAATGCAGACGATCTGCCTGCTGCATCACTAAATCTGGTCCTTCCCATTTTGGTATTTGAGGTCGGAGGGTGAGCACTCCAAGGAAGTCATTAAGCCATACGATTGGACCTTTACAACAGACTATAAGGGAACGTTACTGGGAGATGCCCTCAAGCTAAAGGTAACCGTTATTTTTTGCTTTTATGAGTCATCAATTATCTTGGATGGTCTTGGCATTAGAACTTCCTAGTAATGGCTTGTTTTTTACTATTTTCACCTGTTTATTTCTGTTGTGGGGGCTTCAGAACCTAATATGAGGGAATTCTTATTGATTATCAGCAGGAAATAAAGTGGAGGGATTTTAATTACATGTGGTTTGATGCCTTAATGTTGTCACTGTGCTGCGCCAGCACAGCCAAGGGTTCGGCGAGCCTGAGCCGGGGCGACGAAGGATGGAGAAGTGATAGATAAAGAGAAAAGGCTGGGTGGACCTTCTGTGCCTGGCTGAGGCCACAGAACAGATCCAGACTGCAGAGCTGAGGCTTTATTTTATGGTCAGGAACAAACAAGGTAATCGGTGATGTTCTTGTAAGTTTCAGTTGTTTTGGCAGCACTTGCTGCCCCCCCCACAGTTCACTAGCTACCCAGGAAAGATCTGGGGAGCAGTTACAAGATCAAGCTTAATTATGCTTAGAGGGCTGTGCCCTCCAAGCTGGGACTTGTTTGGGACTTTGCCAGCAGGTCATTCTGAGGCTTAACCCTATAACCGCTTCCTACATGTCACTGTAGAGAGGTGTTCAGGCGTGTGCTTTAGACCAGTGGCTGCCGACCTTTCAGACCTCATGGACCTCCAGTAGTCCGCGCACCACCAATTGGCAACCGCTGCTTTGGACAGACCTGCTAGCAGCAGCTCCCAGTTGTACAGTTGAATAGAGATGGGGGCAGATGGGACTTCTGTCCTGTGTACTATGTGTGAACTGGTATGATCTTAGGGGAGTTACTTAATCTATTTATATGAATCTTAATCTCATCAGTAAATAGGTTAACAGAAATGTCTGCCTCACGGCAGAGTTTTGGTACGAGGTCATCGATGGGAAAGCCCCCAACAGATTCGGAAGCTCTATGTGAATGTTAAATTGCTTCTGTGTAAGCCCTGCGTAGGGTAGATTACTTCATGATAAATATACAAAGAAGGCGGAATAGGTAGGTCTCATATTGGGAGCTTTATCTGCTTATTATTTATTTGCTTTGTTTGCTTATTATTTATTTTTAAATCTTATAGTGTGACTGAAATGAGGGAAATTTGGCTTAGTTTGCAGGTTCTAAATATCACACTTTGTTATAGAGAACAAAATGTATTTCACTGTAACTATTTTCATTAAAAGTAGTTACTGGAGCCCTAACTGGTTTGGCTCAGTAGATAGTGTCGGCCTGTGGACTCAAGGGTCCCAGGTTCAATTCCGATCAAGGGCCTGTATCTTGTTTGTGGGCATATACCCAATAGGGAGTGTAAAGGAGGCAGCTAATTGATGTTTCTCTATCATCGATGTTTTTAACTATCTCCCTTCCTTCCTGTAAAAAAATCAATAAAATATATTTTTTTGAAAAGTAATTACTGGAGACCCCATATCATATGTGGGTGTTTTTTGTTTTTTGTTTTTTTTTAAATATATTTTGTTGATTTTTCACAGAGAGGAAGGGAGAAGGATAGAGGGCTAGAAACATCGATGAGAGAGAATCATTGACCAGCTGCCTCCTGCACATCCCCTATGGGATGTGCCCACAACCAATGTACATGCCCTTGACCGGAATCCAACCTGGGACCTTTCAGTCTATCCATTGAGCCAGACTGGTTTCGGCCATATGTGGGTGTTTAGGCAGAAATGTAAGGAGTGGGGGCACCTATCTTTGTGGACATGGTTAGAATCTTAGGAAGCTGGAGTTCATGCCACTCCTATATTCCAAGCATTAACTATTTTATATTGCTTCCAAGACAAAAACACAGTTTTTGAGAACCCATGCATGCATTCATTCATTCTTGAGCTCTTACTGTGTGCTGGGCAGTAATCCTAGGAGCCCTGGATACACGGGTGACAGACAAAAATCCCTCCTTTGCAGTCTCATGGGAAGCAAGGTTCGTCTGACTTTTATAATGCTTCAGAGGTTCATGTCTTCTCTCCTCACTCCTGATTGAAGAACTCTGTAAATTGGTGGTGGGATGGGGGGGCTCTGGCACATGGTTGCCAAGAGTGAGGAAATTTTGGGAACTTGTTTTAACTTGATCAGTAAGGATGGTGATGCCTGCGGGCTGACTTAGGAAGAGCCTCCTGGAGGCTGTGGAGTGGCATTAGCTAATTTCCTATGTCTCCGGCTCCTCAGAAAGATTTTAATGTGCTCCTTCGGGCATTTTTCTTTCAGGTTGTGCCTACGACAGATCATATAGATACAGAGAAATTGAAAGCCAGAGAGCAGATTAAGTTTTTTGAAGAAGTTCTCCTGTTTGAGGATGAACTTCATGATCATGGAGTGTCAAGTCTAAGTGTGAAAATTGTGAGTATTGTTTAAATTTCTTCTGTTTCTACTATTGGTCAAAACTATGACTCACTTTGAGTTATACCGTCTTAATATGATATCATGTAAAGTTTCATTTGAGTCTAGAGTATATCTTACTAATTAATATCTGTTATAAAATTCACAAAATCTTAATACATTGTTAAGACTTTAGCAAAGCATTTTTTTAAAGATCTGCCTGGTCACTTTGTACTTTGTTTGCTTATTATGTAATTTGAATGAAAATTATGACTTAATTTTCATAGTTTGAATTAAAAACAATGTGGAGAGACTGAGCAGACAGCAAGGTGGATACTATTTAAGGAAGTGACCGTGTGTCAGGACTCAGTGCCCCATAAACTATACTTCAGTTTCTAGCATCCACATGAAAACCCAAGTGACAAGTATCGGTTCCTTTGGAGGATGGACTGCTTCCATTATTACCAATGCTGTTGATGAAACATATACGTAAAAAGAAAACAAACAGGCTGCAGCAGTTACTCATATTTGTTTACTATTAGGTTGTAATTGGTTTCTTAACATTTTCCAGCAAAACCACAACTTTTTATTAAATGCCTTATCCTTTAACACCTAGCTAAAATGTCACTCCTCTATGAGGTCCTCCATAGCAGAGTGAAATATCCCTGGTCCATACTCCAAAAATACATTATTTTTACCCCCCCCCCCCCATTATAGCACTTAGCATAAGGTCTGTCAAAGATGGGCCCAGCATCAAACATTGTTCTCGAAGCACAGTGATAGTGAGTTTTGTGGTTTAAACAATAATTGATATTTATAAAAGCCTAAGTGACCATTAGGACTGGACCATCGGCTGGTAGCTATGACACGCACCAGCTGGCTCCAATGGGCCTTGATTGCTGACCAAGCTGAGAGACCCTATCCATGCACGAATTCATGCATCAGGCTTCTAGTTAAGAATGAAAACAATAAATCAAAAGCAGCAGTAAATTTATTTTAAACTCAAGATTTCTGTAAAATCCTAGGATTTTGGAATTGTGATGAATTTTTACAGAATCATTTAGTTTAGCCTCTGTATTTAGACTTCCCAAAAGACTAGTTTATCTAAGTTGGGGTAACTAATTAGCACTGCTTTCTTTGAACCAATATCTCTATTATTCTAGCATTACATCACTGTTTTCTGAGCACCTCACTCCCTGTTCACCCATCATTCTCCCCCAGTTTATCTTTGTCATTTAGATTTGTTCATGCTGACTCACTGAGTCATGTACCTTTCCATTTGTCTACCCACTCACAGAGCTGACGGTGTGGAATGTTCATTATGATATGCATTTCTGATTGAGCACTTGTAACCAAGTGGGTGGGTATGTCTTCGATGTATGCAAGTGGGGTGAAAGTGTTGGAGAGGGTGTGGGCATAAATGGAACATGTGTGTACCAGAGTAAATAGTCTCAAACTGAACAAACTGAAGAGTAATCATCATTGCGAGACGTTTTTCTTCTCAATTAGTGTACTTGGAGGTGATGAGTGTGGACCAATGACGTTCCCTTGTATGGAAGCAGAGACTAGCTGAGAAGCAGGGGCGTCTGGAGAATGCAGAGATGTGGTGCCCGAGAGTCGAGGGGAGGACATGTCCCATGGAGGAGGGCGCTGAGGACTCCGCAGTGCTGGTGCAGGGGCCCTTGTTAAAGTCATGGGGACTTTACAGAGAGAGCCTGAGGCCATTCCTCACGCCCCACTTTTAAGTTGGAGGAGGAGACCTGGGTGGTTCAGTGACTTGCTCTAAGTTACTGGTTTGCCATCTCATCAGACCCATCACTCCATTTTTTATTTATTTATTTATTTATTTATTTATTTATTATTATTATTATTTTTTATTTTTTAAAATATATTTTATTGATTTTTCACAGAGAGGAAGAGAGAGATAGAGGGTTAGAAACATCGATGAGAGAGAATCATCGATCAGCTGCCTCCTGCACACCCCCTACTGGGGATGTGCCCGCAACCAAGGTACATGCCCTTGCCCGGAATCGAACCCGGGACCTTTCAGTCCGCAGGCCGACGCTCTATCCACTGAGCCAAACCGGTCTCGGCCATATTTTATTTATTTTTAACCAAATACTATAAATACCTCCTCCCATTTACTACCCTGAAATGAAATTCATAAAGTACTACTTTTCAGTAAATTAATAAAATGTCCTAATTATAAATTAAAAATAAATTGACTTGGAATAAAATGTGATGCATTTCACTAGGTAAGTGCATAATATGACCACTAGGTGACATGATGAAGTTGCCAAGTGCTTATGTGCGCGTATTGAGTCACTGTGGGTGTGACAGTTACAGATGTAGGCTGACAGAAATGCTGACAGTCAGTGACTCAGATGACAGGTTGGCATTCCAATGATGCATTTTTCAAAGTAGTGAAATAAAATTCCAAACAAAATGAAGTATAATCTCTCCTTGATTTAAAAGGCCAATGCCTTTATGAATAATTGAGTGGGTTTTTATTTATATGTAAAATGGAATTAGGTTCTGAGGTTAGATCGATGCCAGGTGAGAGATGTGGAAGTCTGCGGGATGCAGGGTTGGACCTTGTTGTATAGGGTCGTCCTGTGCACTACAGAACAGCGACCATCTCTGGTCCTTAACTCCTGAATGTTGGTGCTGGTTGCTCATCACTGTTGCTCACCACAGCATTCCAGACGCTCTTAGAAGAGAGCCACTCTCTTAAAATACCATACGTGGATTGTGGTAGGATTGGGATAGAACACAGGCCCCTAATTCCTGGTCTCCGCATTGTGCCGTGTAGAAATGGTACTTTAGTCTGCCTTCCTGTTGTGTCAGGTGACTGTTTACTAATTATGGAAATGTTGTAAGTCATTCTTTCCCATACATTTGAACTAGCACTCTGCTGGGTAATGATGTGTTTTTAGATCGACTTGTTACATATTGTTGTATTCAGTGCTGCCTCTGTGTTCCTGTGTCTTCCTTTGGTCCCTTGCTGCTTAGCCCATCCCAGTGCATCTGACTCAGCCCTTTCTCCAGCAGCAAGCATCTGGCCTCTTTTGTTCAGCCCACAGTTAATGGCCACCTGCTGTGTGCTGGCTCCTTTTCTGGTGCTGAAGGAGGCCAGTATTCCCACCGCCGCCGTGGAACCTATTGTTAAATAGAGGCTTTAAGCAAGTAAACACATAAATGGATGTAGTTATTGACCTGTTCATTCGTAGTGAGTATGTGAGAGGGAATAATAGGGAAATCTGTGATGACAGGCAGTGCAGGAAAGGCCCCATTGTAAAGTCACCACATTTGCATTGAGCTCTGAAGGACTAGAAGTGCTGGCCAGGAGAACACTCCAGGTCAGGGAACAGGATGTGGAGAGGTCAAGGGCAGGAAAGAGCTTGGCCTGTGGCTGGGTCCTCTTAGGCAGTTAAGCCACTATCTTCATGGGGTTATCTTATTATTCCTTATTCTTGGTTAATGTTGCCCTGTGCTTATATCCTCGCCAGCCCTGGTCTCTGCTCAAGGCTACAAAGTTTCAATTCTAGAAGATAGATAAATCTCAGAGACCTGCTGCCAGGTGGCCTTGGCCTCTGCTTAAGGAGGTGCTGAAAAAAAAAAAAAGGAACAGCTGGGAGCCTGGTCGCCAGGGGGCGTGGCCAGCCTGATACCAGTCCTCAGCCCCTTATCCAGGCTGGCCACACCCCCATGGGGTGAGGCTCCCTGCCAGGGGGCGTGGCCAGCCTGCAAGCAGCCATCAGCCTCTCACCAAGGGGGGACCTCCAGCCTGAAAGGGGTGTGGCCAGCCTGAAAATGGCCTTCAGCCCCTCACCTAGGACAACCAGGCACCACAGCAGGACCTTCCACCATGAAGGGGCTGAGGCCAGCCTGAAAATGGCCTTCAGCCCCTCACCCAGGCTGGCCACGCCTCCCTCCCCCTAGAGAGGTTCAAACCACCACAGACCCCTTGCCCAGGCCACCCCACACCCCAAGAGAACCCCCACCCTGATCTGGGACACCCTTCAGGGCAAAGCAGCCAGCCCCCACCCGTGCTCCAGCCCTCTTATCTATACTAATAAAAGGGTAATATGCTAATTAGACTGGGAGACCTTCCGGATGTTCTTCTGGACAAAGCTTTGGTGGCAGGGTTGAGTAGAGGGAGTTAGAGGCCAGAAGAGGAGGGCAGTTGTGGGTGATCAGGCCGGGTCGGGATAGCAGTTGTGAGTGATCAGGCTGGTGGTGGTCGGGGCCTTTGGAGGTAAGTAGACCAGCAGGGGTCCTGTTAGGGGCAAGCAGGACATCAGTGGGGGTCAGTTGGAGATGATCAGGACAGTGGAGGAGGGGGGGCAGTTGGAGGCGAGCAGGGTGGCAGACAAAGTGGTTAGGGGCAATCAGGCAGGCAGGTGAGTGGCTTGGAGCCAGCAGTCCCAGATTGCGAGAGGGATGTGTGACTGCCAGTTTAGGCCGGATCCCTATAAACCAGCAGTAGGACATCCTTCCAGAGGTCCCAGATTTGAGAGGGTGCAGGCTAGGCTGAGGGACAGACCCCCTCCCACCCCTGTGCACGAATTTCATGCACCAGGCCACTAGTCATTGATAAGAGAGAATCATGGATTGGCTGCTTCCTGCATACCCCCCACTAGTGATCAAGCTGCAACCCAGGGATATGCTCTGACCGGGAATCAAACTGTAGCCTCCTGATTCATAGGTTGATATTCAACTACTGAGCCACCCCGCTGGGCTCCTGAGTGCTTTTGAACCTTGTGCATACCCCTGTATAGCAGCCCACATTGGATATGTCTGTTTTCCTCCTGGATAAACTTCTTGAACACTGGGATTGTACCTTTGCATCTATATAAATCTAGTACCTGCTGAAGTAAGAATTTGACATGTGGTAGGCAGTAAGAATCTATTTAGTAAATGGTCAAACATATTGTTTTTGAAGACCTGAGGAACCATACCCCTCTCTCCTTGCCACCAGAATCCACCTTTTCACTCTCCACTAACTCTGGCTTCCCGGTTGTATTTGAGAAACAGACATTTATAGATGTGCCACAGATGGAAGATGTCAGGGATGTGAATAATGACCTGATGAACTTGGCTTTGGCAGTAGGATACAGTATCTAATCGGCTCTGCTGCTTAGAGCATTCCTGTTCAGTTCTCGAGTCTTTATTTTATATAAAGTGAGTAAAAGGCAGCAGCAACAAAGAACTAGGTCCTTCTTTCATTTTGGTATTATTGGTGTCACCATTTACTGTAAGTACTACCATTTTTTATTTTTTAAAATATATTTATTTATTTATTTTTTTTTTTAAAGAGAGGAAGGGAAAAGGATAGAGAATTAGGAACATCGATGAGAGAGAAATATTGATCAACTGCCTCCTACATACCCTCTACTGGGGATATGCTTGCAACCAAGTTGCATGCTCTTGACTGGATTTGAACCTGAGATACTTCTGTGCTCGGCTGGCATCCTAACCACTGGGCACACTGGCCAGCGCTGTGTTGTCTTTTTAAGATAAATAACTTTTGACTTAGAAAAAATATATTTCTATTCTACAAAACTGAAACCAGGATGTTAAATAATATACACAAGTTTTGGGGCCTTAGTTCTAGAACAAAGAATCTCTAGTTCAGAGATTCCTATATTATGCTAATTCAGCCCTCCTCCCAGGCTTTAACAAATTCATTTTCTTTTAGCACACTAACAATATTTAATTTTAATTGAAATATTAATGCACTTTTTTTTCTTCTTCTTTCAGAGAGTCATGCCTTCCAGCTTTTTCCTGCTATTGCGGTTTTTCTTGAGAATTGATGGAGTACTTATCAGAATGAATGACACGAGACTCTACCATGAGGTATCTAATCTCATGTGATGAATGTACTAACTGATATTGGGTCTGTTTGTGTTGTTTCATGTCTTTGTGAGAATTTGAAATTGAATGGTGCTTTATATTCTACAAGAAGCCCGGTGCACAAAATTTGTGCACAGGGTGTGTGTGTCCCTCAGGCCAGCATGCACCCTCTCCAATCTGGGACCCCTCAAGGGCAGTCGGACATTCCTCTCATAGGACTGCTGGCTCCCAACCATTTGCCTGCCTGCTGGCCCAGTTGCCCCTAACTGCCCTCCCCCGCCATCCTGGTCACCCATAAATGCCTTCCCTGCAGGCCTGGTCATCCCTAACTGCTCTCCCCCTGATTGCTCCCAACTGCCCTCCCCTGCAGACCTGGTTCCCTGCAACTGCCCTCCCCTGCAGGCCTGGTTGCTCCCAACTACCCTCCCCTGCAGGCATGGTCCCCCCCAATTGCCCTCCCCTGCAGGCTTGGTCTCTCTCAACTGCCCTCCTGCAGGCCTGGTTGCCCCCAACTGCCCTCCCCTGCAGGCCTGATTGCCCCCAATTGCCCTCCCCTCCAGCCATCTTGTGTCCACATGGGGGTGGCCATCTTGTGTGTTGGAGTGATGGTCAATTTGCATATCATCTCTTTATTTAATAGGACGGCATGCTTCATATTCACTGTTGACCGTGATTACAAAACACTCCATCTCTTCCAAAAGTTCTGGCAACTGAAACTTTATTCTACAAGACACTCCCTACTGTGGTCTGATGCTTCTTAAAAAATTGTGTTTGTACTTCATCTGTGTTTAAGAAAACTGTCCTTTAACTCTTACCTTTGTTTATAGTATGTATTGTTTACATCAGCCTTCGCCAACCAGTGGTCCGTGGACCTCTGGTGGTCCGTGAGGTCCAAAGGTTGGCAACTGCTGGTTTACATAACGTCCTAATATTGGAAAGTTCTTCTAAAGTTTGAAAGCTTGTGCTCCAGCAAAAGGAACTGTTAACAAAGTTTATAAACAATAATGATGAAGTGTTTTTTAAAAGGACGGGGGTGGGGGGGTCTTAAATTGAGTTATGAAAACTTTTCCAGTAGCTTCGTCATGGCCTGTCCTTTGTGAATGAATTTTTAACTGCAGATTTTGTGGGGTGATGAGTTAGAGACGAGACTGCAGTCAGTCAGGGCTGTCGGGTAATGGTTAGCTCTCCTAACGACCCAAAGAAACATGGGCTGCGTGATCTCTGTCTCACGTCAACCACATCGGACAGCTAATGGGGGCAGAGCTGGGATCTAGCCCATAGAATGGGATTGGATTGGTCATTTCCCGAATCCTGCACTAGGGAAGGTTTTTTCCCCTTGAAATAATACGGTGGCTGTGATGACCTTTTTCTTTTTAAAAGTGGTAACAAAATACTAAAAATAGGCGGTATTTTTTTCCTTCAGAAAGGATGAAGTCAATCTAAATTTAAAAATCTTATGTTTTAACTCAACAATATTGAGTTTTTATGGAATTACCCTAAAAAAGATTCAATATACAATAACCCACAAATATGAATCAATGTGTATATAGCAATTTTTTTTATAAATATATTTTATTGATTTTTCTTACAGAGAGAAAGGGAGAGAGATAGAGAGCTAGAAACGTCAATGAGAGAGAAACATCGACCAGCTGCCTCTTACACACCCCCTACCAGGGATGTGCCCGCAACCAAGGTACATGCCCTTGACCGGAATCAAACCTGGGACCTTTCAGTCCACAGACTGATGCTCTACCACTGAGCCAAACCAGTTTCGGCAGCAATGTTGTTTGTAATTCAAACAGGAGGGGAGGAGGACACTTACTGCCCATTGAATGGACATTGATTAAATTTTTTACTTTATATCCATATAATAGAAAAATATGTAGTCATTAAAATTAATGCCAGAGCTGAAACCGGTTTGGCTCAATGGATAGAGCGTCGGCTTGGGGACTGAAGGGTCCCAGGTTCGATTCCAGTCAGGGGCATGTACCTTGGTTGCGGGCATATCCCCAGTAGGGGGTGTGCAAGAGGCAGCTGATAGATGACTCTCTTTCATCGATGTTTCTAACTATCTCTCTCCCTTCCTCTCTGTACAAAATCAATAAAATATATTAAAAAAAACAACAAAAAACAATAAGGTTCCTAAATGTATAATTTATGACCCTTAAAATTAATGCTAGAAAGTTATATTAAGTGCTTTAGAAAGATAAAATTACTGGGTTAATTATCTTAAAATCTTACATAAGATTTTGTGTAGAGATTTCTAAACATTAAGAATAGTTATCTTGCCAGGACCGGTTTGGCTCAATGGATAGAGCGTCGGCTTGGGGACTGAAGGGTCCCGGGTTCGATTCCGGTCAAGGGCATGTACCCTGGTTGCGGGCACATCCCCAGTAGGGGGTGTGCAGGAGGCAGCTGATCGATGACTCTCTCTCATCGATGTTTCTGACTCTATCTCTCTCCCTTCCTCTCTGTATAAAATCAATAAAATATATTTAAAAAAAAAAAAAAAAGAATAGTTATCTAGGAGAACCCAAGATGGCTGCACAGGTAAACACCTAGCCGCAGCCACACACAACAATTTCAATAAAATACAACTAAAATATAAAATGGACATTACCCAGAACTACAGGAAAGTCGACTGACTGGAAATTCTACAACGAGAGGTAAGGAGAAAGCCAGAAGGAAGCGCGGAGGAGCTTGAAAAGCCTAAGGTACGGAGACAAGCGGCGCACGGAGAGGACGGAGCCGGAGAGGAAGGGCGGGGCCACTGAGTGCCTGGCTGGGTTCCCTAGCAGGAAGGAGATTAAAGCTCCGACTGCTCTGAACCCCAGTTCTAGACCAGACCCCAGGGACCCAGACTCATCCATAGGGAGCTGGGCTGCAAGGTGGAACCCCGGGGGAGTGGCGAAAGGAGGTCCTGGAGGCGTGCACATTGCGCGCAGAGAAGGGACGGTTGGCTGTGCCGTGGAATTGCCCTGGCAGGAAGGAGACTGCTCTGAACGTCACCTCCAACCCTACTTTCAACTGAACTGAACCCCAGTTCCGACTCATTGGGGGAGAGCCTAGACTGTTTGATAGCAGGCGAAAAGCGAGGGCACCTTTCTCTCAGAGGTGCTTGCAGCGAGTACTGAAAGACCCTGGAGATTACTGAGACCCAGGAACCGCATAGGGCGGGGCTGATGGAAGCCAGGCTATAGGCTCCACCCTGAAACCCTGCCCCATCAGGAAAGTTTCGAAAATGCCGAGACAACGAGATATATCACAAACAAAAGAAACGGAGGACAAAAAACGACTGGATATAGAGTTCAAATCTATGCTTATAAGGTTTTTCAAGAATTTCCTAGAAAAGGTCTATAAGACCTATGAGGATATGAGAAGGGATCAACTAGAATTAATAAGGAATCATCAAGAAATGATAAGGGATCAACAAGAAATAAAGAATACATTGTCTGAAATAAAAAATATTATACAGAGTCCTAAAAACAAAATGGAAGATTGCAAGAATCAAGTCAAAGATTTGGAACATAAAGAGCCAAAAGACACTCCTTCGCCTACGCAAGAAGGCAAGAGAATCCAGAAAATTGAAGATAATGTAAGAAACCTCTGGGACAACTTCAAGCGAACCAACATCAGAATTAGGGGGGTCCCAGAAGATGAGAGAGAGCAAGATATCAAAAATATACTGAAAGAAATAGTGACAGAAAACTTCCCCCACCTGGTGAAAGAATTAAACTTACAAGTCCAGGAAGCCCACAGAACTCCAAACAAAAGGAATCCAAAGAGGACCACACCAAGACAAATCATAATTAAAATTCCAAGAGCAAAAGACAAAGAGAGAATATTAAAAGCAGCAAGAGCAAAGCAGATAGTTATCTATAAAGGAGCACCAATACGATTGTCAGCTGATTTCTCAACAGAAACCATGCAGGCCAGACGGGAGTGGCAAGAAATATTCAAGATGATGAATAATAAGAACCTAAAGCCAAAGATAATCTACTCAGCAAAGCTATCACTCAGAATCGAAGGCCAGATAAAGAGCTTCACTAATAAAAAAAAGCTAAAGGAGTTCATCAACACCAAACCAGAATTATATGAATTGCTTAAGGGGGTTCTTTCGGAAGAGAAAGTAAATAAAGATAAAAAATTATGAACAACAAATATGTAACTATCAACAAGTGAATCTAAAAACCAAGGAAATTTTTAAAAAAATCTGATGAACAATATTAACTGTTGAATATAATAGAATCAGAGGTATGGAAGGGGAGTGAACTGACGATTCTTGGAGAAAAGGGGAGGGGGGATATAGGAAGAGACTGAACATAAACTGTGTACCTATGGATGAGGATGATGGGGGGTGGGGAAAGGGCAGAGGGTGGGGTGGGAACCTGGTAGTGGAGAGCAATGGAGGGGGCTGGGGGGAAGGAACATTTGTAATAATATGAACAATAAAAATTTATTTTAAAAAAATAGTTGTCTATAGGAACTGTGATGCTGATGATTTATACTTTATATACTTTGTTATTAGATTGTTTTACATGAACCCTAATCTGTCTTTATCGATATGAAAGACTGAAACCTTATGGAGTTTAATCTTGTGGTTTTCTTTTATTGAAAAGTACCTCTGAAAACAAATTATGATAAATTGCTGCTTTAAAACCTTACTTTAAAAAACTTAAAACTTTTTTGTTGATTGGTTTGAGAGAGAGAGAGATCTCGATTTGTTGTTCCACTTATTTATGCATTCATTGGTTGATTCTTGTATGTGCCCTGACTGAGAAGTTTTTTCCCCCCTTGGAACATAAAAGTAGCTGCAGTTAGGTAGGTAATAATAATGTGACAGGAAAATCTCTTGCGTATCTCACTTATATACATATTTACTTTTAAGGTAAAACCTTGCTTGTGTTTCTCTTACATGGTAATTATTAAATCTGCTTGTATTTTTGTATCTGATGTTACTATGATTTATAGGGATTGGAATTAACAATTCAGAATTCTTGATGAGAGTTTAATAGCAGTTCTTTCGTCTTTTTGGAGTTCATACCACCATCACAACCTATACTAAAATGTAAGCAGTTTTGTTTAATAGAAAGGATTATAAAATAAATAAAAGTAAACTTGTTACAACTTTTTTTATTTTTAAACCTAGGCCGACAAGACCTACATGTTACGAGAATATACGTCACGAGAGAGCAGAATTGCCAATTTAATGGTACGGCATTCTAATATCGTACAGTTTTCAAATGTGAATTTTTTTCTTTTCAGATACATAATCCCCCACCCCCTACCCCACCCAACCACCCAGATCTGCATTCTTAAATCTATCTATTTACCCAAAGGGCTCAATAGGGTGGATCCTGCTCCATATAACTGAGCTTACCTCAAATACAGGAACAGTTAGAGTTGCTGGGTACTATAGCCATCATCCAATCTGATTTCCACATTTCATTCTGGAAAAGCTGAGATCCAGAGGTGGGAATTACCTGGAGTCACTCCTCTGGCTGGTTGGCACCACCTGGGTGTTCTTTCCACATGCCACCCCGTGATGTCTTCCTACCCAGCTCCCTTTTCCCTCAAGCATGGTGATTTCACACCGTGACTTGTTCTTTTTGGCATAATTTCTCTCTGTTTTTGCTCTCCTGGAAATTGGAAGGGCCTTCCTTGGGACTTAAAATTCTAAATAAGTTGCTTAAAACGTGACACCTTCCTGCAGACTTGACATTCTTTTTTCACCCTTTGTGCGTCGCTCTGTCTGGGCACAGCGTGCACACGTTAGAGAAGTTACTGTGCACACTGGGCTCCCGGTACAGCAGCCACAGAGAAGGGGCCTGGGCCAATGGTCCTACATTCAAAGAGGAATACAAAGGTTTCAGTAGAAAGAAAAGAGCTTTGGATTCTTAGGACATTGATGGCAGCGTTGTCAACACCGTATCCCTGTGGTCCCTGCCATCACTAAGTAGCAGAGTCGAAGAGTCAGGAACAAAGATATCTGTTAGCACCAGGTACTGGGTGATGCTTCTTACCTACATTTATGTGCTTCACTTTACAACCGCATGCTTTATACCCAAGCCTTTCTAAAGAGTGTCAGCGCAGTAACCGAATCGTTGCTGATATAATTTATGTGTTTCCCAGCATGTCCCGCCTTCCCTCTTCACGGAACCTAATGAAATGTCACAGCATTTACCGATCAAGGAGACCGTCTGTGAGAAGCTCCTATTTCCAGAAAGAATTGATCAGAACCCCTCAGAGTCACAAGCAGACGAGCCTGTGGAATAGAATGTGACACATCAGATCCTCACCGTGGAATCAGATGGAGACTGTGGCTATGTGGATGTGGGTTTTTTATTATGAGAATTAATTGCCTTGTCTATGTGCAGATTTTCTGTAGACTTCAAAGGGGGGAAAAAAAGATTGTTGCAGATAGATTCCACTCAACTACTGTTTATACTGCCTATCTTCAGGTTCATAGTCCAGATTTGTTTCCTGGCATTAACGTGCATTTCTAACTGTCACAGTAGTGTGGTGTCAGGAGGGATGTGTACATGTCTCATGAGTAGTGGGCATATTCTATCCATTGGGCAGCATGGTCTTCCCCTGGGAGGTGGGCGCTCTGAATCCCTGGATCGCAGCACCGCGCCTCGGGCTGCTGTCAGCATGTGGTCGGCCTTCCACCCTGGGCTTTGTGGCGTTTTTCCCTCTGCTGCATAGTCGTGGCTTGCCTCCCAGGAAACTGACCTCATACTTTAATGATCTTCACCCCAAAATTAAAGAAATATACATTTCTGCTCTAAACTTAAAGTTACTATTGAAGTTTAAAAACATTTCAGACATAGAACCCAATAACCTGGTCCTTTGGAGAGTGTAAGCTGTTGTGCCCCTGGAAACACATAAGCGTGGTTGGCATTAACCGCAGAACGCAGAGCTGTCTCTCTGTCTTTGGGTGCTATTGCCTGTGCGCTTCTGCTGTACCGACATCTTCGCTTCCCTTCCACGCAGCCGCCCCGTGGGCAAATCCACTGAACACTGAGGTTGGTATTAGTCCTTAAAGTTTAAAGAATCCATATGGATTGTGGTTAGCACATATTACATCAACCCCTAACAACCAGATTAATTTCTACTTAAAATATTTGAGAGGTAGTTGTGGAGGAGGAGGAGGCAGCTAATTTTTATATATTAAAGCCAGTTTTTTGGTTTTAAAATTCATGTTAACATTACAGGGAATCCAGTAAAGTGTAATTAGTGTAAGACCTGGGTAGTCACTCCAGAAAGTACTCCAAAGTCCATGTACAGGCCATTTGGTTATTCTGATGATGACCTTTTAAACACACTTATATCCGTTCCTGTCTTTCTAAATGATCTTCCGAAAGTGGAAATGGTTATAAAGCACCAAGTAAGGACTTACTTAAAATGGATTTTTAAAATGACTTTTTTACAGGGCAAGGGAAAAACCATCATCCCCTTTTTTCCTGGTTTGAAATAACTGTTGTACATATTTCCACTTGATGGATAAATCATTAAATAAGAATATTTAAATAAAAGTATTAGCAAAGCTCTTCAGGTATTATTAGCCTGATAATAAGTTCTAGTGAACATTCATTCATTGGTCCAACTCTGGTGCACTCTTGTGTGTGTTGTGGTTTCACTAATTGTATTACCTAATTTTGGTCTCAAATGGTTTTGGTATTGGTTTGCCGTCTGTTGCATCACCTGTGACATACAGGAAATCAAGATTTTGTTGACTTAACAAAAACACATGGCATGTTCACTGTGTATTAAATATGCCCGAATTTCATGTTTTCTCTTAGGCCAGAAAAGTAAACATATTGTATACAGCTTCCTGTATTATTTTATTTGCCATGCAGATTTGAATAGAACAGCCTCTTTTTTCATACAAATTATAAGAAATGAAAAACCTCTTAAGAATACTCACTAGTCGAAATTTCTGGGCAGTATCATATATATCTTTTAAAACTTGATTCAGATGTCTTGCTCCTTGAGTCATTCTTAGATTGCTTATTTTGCTTCATTTTAAACATTGCAGGGAATTAAAAGAACTGACCTTGTTTTATAGAAGGTGAATTGTGCCTAGGAAAATGTACTTCTGAAAATTCATGAGTTTATTCCTGCAAAGAACACCAAGAAAACCTGTATTTGCCCATTGCTAAATAAGACATATACCATTCTATATTCATTTGTCCCAAGTGTCTTTTTGTAAGAGGAAAATAAACAATAAGGAATTATTGATCTGTTTTGCTATTTCATTTACTTAAGTTATTAAAGCTTAATTAAAGAATGGTTTGGTATACCTTTCTTGATTCTGCTTTTTGTTTTGAAATTGGCCAACATTCTGGCCAGAATCTCCAGATGGATTATAAATGAACATTGATAAACCCAGTATAGCTTTTGGGTTCTTTCTCTCTCACTTCTGTACCCCAGTACTCTCTGGATGTTACAACTAGCCAGTGTTGACTAGTTGGGTTAACGTTTTCTGTTCTTGGAAATGTGAATACCTGTTGTGTGCAACTTCCCATGTAGTTCTTTTTTTAATCTTTATTGTTGAAAGTATTGCATAGATCCTTCTTCCATGTAGTTTTCCCCCCAGGTAGTGTTGAGTGTCCCATATGGTCCTAGAAGGGATTGCAGTAAGAGAGTTCATGTCTTCATTGGGTTAAAGTCTAATGGAAGAGACAAAGTAAAAATAATTTCAGATTTTAATAAGTGCAGTGATGGAAATAACACTGATTTAAGAGAATAACAATCACTGTTAGTAGAGGTTCTGCTTCTGAAGAGAATATAGAAAGCCTCAGGAGAATGCCACTTCTAATGTAACAAGGAGAAAAGTCTGTGTAAGCGACAGAATGCCAGCGTTCTTTGGGTGCATCAGAGAACTGAGGTTCAACGGCAGAGCAAACTGAATCCCAAAGAGTGATGAGCCCTCTGACGGGATGGGGCATACAAATTGCTTTGTCTCAAGAAGAACGTGAGACAGGTGGCCACTATACAAGCAGGTAAGAAAAAAAGCTAACATGTTAACAGGTTTTTTAAAGGCCTAGCCCAATGGTTTGTCACTCTGTTGACTAATAAGTTTGCCAACCACTGGGCTAGCCCATCAGTTTGGAAGAGCTGAGAGTATCAAATAAGGGACATGAAACACACAGTTCTTCTCAAGGTCTACACCAGGCACTCACCAGATGCTTGGGCGGGTCATGGGGGAACCCCTGTTAGTGGCTCAGGCAGGCAGGAGGTCTGAGGCATAGGTATGAAACCCTGCCTTGCTTCCCCCAGACCATTTCCTTGAGGGATTCAAGTCTTAGGCTGCTGGCGAAGAGGAACAACACATCACATTACCCTCTGGGGGGAAAATAAAGGCAAACCCCTTTAGCCACTGGGGCAGAAGTCAGAAATGCTCTGACAGTCACTGCTAGAGGAGGCCAAGTAAATATCCTTGACCTTGGAGCAGGGGCAGAAAACCCTGGGCCCAGAGTCCTACTGGGATAACAGATATGCTACCGCTGAGGGATGGGCACGGAATTCACACACAAGAACAGCAGCAGATTTAAGGCACAGTTTGGCTGCCACAGGGGACGGGGCAGGAGTGTTGAGAGAACCACCCTCCAAGGCCCAGGCACACAGCCTGCCTTGGACTGAGGCATCAGTCACTGAGAAACCCCGGGCCACCACAGCCTCACCCTAAGTAACAAGGGCCACCATCTTAGTGATGACCTGCAGAAGTGGTCCACTCGGAGAGCAGGAACTGTGTATCTCTTCACTGGCACATAGAACCCAATACATGTGCTTAGAGCGAATAAGAGTGAGTAGAACCATGGTCGGCAAACTGCGGCTTGCGAGCCACATGAGGCTCTTTGGCCCCTTGAGTGTGGCTCTTTCACAAAATACCACTGCCTGGGTGAGACTATGTTGAAGTGGCGTTAGAAGAAGTTTAAGTCTAAAAAATTTGGCTCTCCAAAGACATGTCAATCATTGTACTGTTGATATTTGGCTCTGTTGACTAATGAGTTTGCCGACCATTGGATTAGAAGAACAAATCGGCAACCCTGAGAACAAAGGGGTTGGGGGGAGAAAGTTCTAAGATATTCCTCAGACTTTACATAACTATGTGCATAGTGATAGAACTAGTGAAACTGGGCTCCGTGCAAATTCCAATACTTGCCTCACTTCCTCTTTTTTCAGGGAGCTGCAGTCAACTTGAAGTATCCCCTCTCCCCAGCAGGAAGGAGCTTGGTCTAAAGTTCCTTGGAGGCAGGGGTAACGGTTAATTCTGCATTGTGTCAAGCACCAGGCATTGTGCACCGTGTGTAACAGGTGCTCAGTGAATGCGGAAGAAACGGATGCCTGTGAGGCTGAGGCAGGGGAGGCAGGGAGGCTGCCTTGGAGAGGGTCAAGAGACCTTCAAGGGCAAGAAGACTGTACCCAGTGTCCCTGGGGAAGACCCAGGCGACCCAGTCCCCCTGGACGCAGAGCCCTCTCCCGTGGGCTCAGGCTGAGTCTGCATTAGGGCCTTGCTTAGACACCCGGCTGCATGCTTGCCAACTGCTGCTTTAGGTAACCTCGTCACTACTGGGACGTGAAGCTCCCGAACCAACGCTCTGGTAGCAGCTTTTTTCTCTCCGATTGGAAAACAGAAAATCCTTGTGTTCTTACAAGTTTGAAGCCATCTAGCATTTCCGGTTAGGCCTTTGACTAACCACTTACAGGCAAGGTTGCCCTATGATTTGTGGGGCCTGGGAAACAGTGCAAATGGAAGGCCATTAGCCATATGTCTAAATAGTTTGTAGCTAAACATCAAGCTAAGTAATTGATAAATTATGTATGGCCCTCCTATATTGACAAATACCTGTAGTTGTGGCTTTTATAAGACTGAAAATTGGCCAAGTGTCAAACATGATGTTTAGCTCTGGACAGTCTGACTCAGTTGAAGTGTCATCCCCAAACCCCAAAGGTGGTGGGTTTGATTCCCCGTCAGAACATCTACCCAATGTGCATTTGATCCCTGGTCGGGGCACATGTGGGAGGCAGCCAATCGTTTCTCACATTGATATTTCTCGCCTCTCTCTAAAAGCAATTTTAAAAAGATGATATTCAAACACCTAAATTCAATGATCACAAAAATTAAAATATAAAAATATAAATTTAATTTAAAAATAAATGGCATTTTTTATGTTTCCAACAGTTATTTAAAAGTATTTAAAATCATATACAAAAATTAAAGGGAAGAAATCTAATTTATAATTCACAAATGTTTAAAAATTAAATTTCAGGTATTTGAATAAAGTTGAATTTTTTGGGGGGTTTGATTACACACTTTATTTATTTATTGGTATTAGATAGAAGAAGGGAGAGTCACCAATGTGAGAGAAAAACAGATCATTTGCCTTCCAGTCGTGCCCAGTGGAATTGAACCCGTAACCTGGTCAGGGTTATTTACTTTTTTTAAAAAAATATATATATTTTATTGATTTTGTACAGAGAGGAAGGGAGAGAGATAGAGAGTTAGAAACATCGATGAGAGAGAGTCATCAATCAGCTGCCTCTTGCACACCCCCTACTGGGGATGTGCCCGCAACCAAGGAACATGCCCTTGATCAGAATCGAACCCGGGACCCTTCAGTCCCCAAGCCGATGCTCTATCCATTGAGCCAAACTGGTCTCGGCAGGGTTATTTACTTTTTAAGCTGAATTTTTCTACTTGACTCTGAAAATGTAATTAATAAATATTTTTATTAAAAAGCTATTTGTGGTTCTAATAGTAAATATCTTAGAATCAGTATCATGTTTCATGTATTTAATGCCTAGACCTACATATTTACACTTCAAGAGTAATATGAATTGTTTAATATTGCAGAATATTCCTCACCCTCTGTGTGAACTGCAAATACTGCATCATTCTGTGAGTACCTCTGCAATAGTCAACTAAAGCATGCAGAAAAATGAGAAAGTGGACACTTGGGACAAACGGGACATGGTATACTGTTCTGTGAGGTTCTGCTGCATCCTGCCATGTCCATGTGGGCTGGCACAGGGAAGGCTTCAGAGAGGTAGCAGAGGGATGCTGGCTTCCATTAGATGCTAACTGAATGCTTGCCAGGTCCTAGGCTCTCCGTACACTTACATTTCCTTCCCACAGTAACTTACAGAGGTGGTAATGTGTGTCCCTTTTACAGATGGGAAAATTGAGGATCAGAAGGTTACGTAACTTGCTCAATGCCACACAGCTAGCAGTAAGAGTTGGTGCTAGAGGTATAAAGCCCGGGTTTTCTAACTCCACGGTGGGTGGGCTTGCCACTGTGTTCTCGAATTGGAAGGATGTGTAGGAATTTACCTGAGAGGAACAAGGGGGGGAGGGGGAAGGGCATCCAGACAAAAGCATTTGTTACTCAAGTTCTGAGGTGTAAACTAAAATCATAGGAGCAAGAGATGTTTGACTATCCATAAAGATGAAGTCCCATTAGGAGTGTAAGTACAACCTTTTGACTGACTTGAATAGGGTCCTGTGTAACCCCCTTTGCTTGGTTGTTTTTAAGTAATTTCCAACAGGCCCCTCCTGGCTAAGGGTACAAATGCATAACCAGAGTCTAGCAGCTACTGCCAGCAGAAGCCTCACACAGCCCGCTTCTCAGGGAAAGCCAGAGAAGGCAGAGAGCCTCCTGCACTATGCTCCTGCCAGCTGCACCCACCTTTATAACGGAGTTCCTGGAATCGCCCTTCAACCAATGGGCTGAGACCTGCTCTGTCCAATCGGAACTGTGCAGCTCTGCCCTCATTTACATACTTACTGACCAATCAGAGCAGCTCTATAATCGACTATTTGGGACAATTACTATCTAGACCAATCAGATTGTAAATCTGGGTTCCTCATTTGCAAAACAATGGGCCAATTAGTAGCGAGGGAGGGAACTTTATAAAAGCCAGCCTCCCTATTGTGTCAGAGGAGTGCGCTTAGAATTTACCAGGATCTGTCTCCTGGGTTAGCAGACTTTGCCTGGGAAACAGTTCTCTTAGGGGACCTCAGACTGAGGCCTCCTGTAGGTACCGATTGGCCGCAGCCACCTTTTGTTGGCATTGGTAACAGTTCTGTCCAGGCAGCCTGCATGCGTCTGGGAGGCGGCGGGAGGCTCAGTGCACGCTGCAGGGAACCCGTCTGTGTGTTTGTTTGTTTGTTTGTTTGTTTGTTTTTTGCGACTTAATCTAGACGTTAGCTTTGCAGACACTACCCAGCGAGCAGTCTGCGAGCCCCTGTCCAGAGGCTAGGTTCTCCGACATGTATCCATTAGCGCGGGGCCCCACCTTGAAGTCAGTGAAAGGAACCAACAAACTAGCATTCCTTCCTCAAACCCCAGTCCCACCCGGTTTCGCCCAAATCACACTGGGTGCATTTCCGCTTGGAATTAGCGTCTCCACAAAGCTCGTTGCAGACGGAACTTATTGCAGGTGGTCCCACGGGATTCTGAACAGGTTGCAGATGCAATGAGAACGTGGACGGAGCACGAGTCTGAACCCACCGGCTCGGGGAAGCGAGTTCCCAGGCCCGTGCGGGCCCTCGGCGTCCGCTCCTGACCCAGGAGGCGGGAGGGTGGCGGGAGGGGGTGCGGACTGACGCGGGGCCGGCTCGGGGCCTCAGTCCCCTCTTCCAGACCCTCCCCCGCCCTCCACCGGCGCCGCCGGGCAGAGCGGGCGGGGCGCGGACGGTGGGTCCCGGGCGCCTGCGCCGGCGGGGGCGGGGCCGCACCCGGAAGAGCCGCGGCCCGGGCAGCGCAACAGGCGGCGGCGGCGGCGGCGGCCGGGGCGGCGCGGGGCGGCGGGATGGACAAGCTGAAGAAGGTGCTGAGCGGGCAGGACGCCGAGGACCGGGGCGGCCTGGCCGAGGTGAGCGCGCCCCCCGCCCGCCTGGCGCCGGGGGCGGGGAGGGGGTGGCGCGGCTGCGGCGGGAAGGAGCCGGACTTCAGGGCGTCCTGGAAAGCGCTCTGCCCTCCCGCCCGGCCCGGCCCGGCCCGCGGGCCCCGCGCTCCCCGCTCCGCGCTCCCCGGGGCCGGGCGCCGGGCTCCGCGTCCGCGCTGTTTACTGGGTCCCGCACCCCCTCCCCGCGCGGAGGCGGCGCCGGGGCTGAACCCACAATCGGCTGAGCGGAGTGGGTGGGCCCGGCCCGGAGGCCCGGACGCGGGGCATTGGGGTCAGGCCGCGCCGGGCACCTGGGGGCGGGGCGCCCCTGCTCCGCGCGGGGGTGCGGGAGCCGCCCTGGGGCTCCGGCCGCCGGCCTGGCCGCAGCGGCTGCAGACGTGCCGCTCCCCCGGCCCGCGCCCACCTGCGGGCGTGTGACTGCGGGTGTGTGACCGGGGTGTGTGACCGGGTGTGTGACCGGGTGTGTGACCGTCTCCGCCGCCGACCGCGGGCTCCGGGCGGGACCGGTGGTTCTCTGCCCGCGCAGCCTGCAGGCGGGGCCCCTCCGGGGGGCTGAGCGGGGCCGGACGCCCTGGGTGTCAGAGCCTCCAGAACGCTCTTTCCTCTCCTGGGTGCTTTCTGCGTTGGTTGTTTTCCTTTCTGGATAACAAAATACCCTGTCTTTACTTTTGGGCGTGTATTCCCAGGGCCTCAGTTTCCCCACCTCCTGTCAACGCCAAACCTGTTCTTCCTCTCACTGTCATCGGCGCCTCCCAGGGTTGCTCCCACGCTGCTGGTGGCACCGAGTTCTGTGGGATGCCAGTGCCTCCACCCTCCTGTGGTTCAATCTCTGTCACTGCACACCCACCTGGAGGGAGCACCGTGGGAATGCAGTGTGAGAGGAGCTGAGCTTTAACCCCCCTGCCATTGCAGAGCAGCGCCCTGCGTTTTTCTCTAAAGTTGCTGGCTTTAGTAAATGGCGGAGGCCCAGGAGTCACTTCCTGAGTCTCTGTTCCGGATTGCTGGCTTCTGTTAGGAACTCTCCCCGGAAGCCCCGGGTGGGACAGGGAGAAGGACACAGGTCCTGCGTGTCTCCAGCTTTGTGCCCTGTGGACTGTCCGCAGCCTTGGTGAGCAGCGGGCTTCCCCAGGGGGACCTTTCCTCTTCCCGAGACTCCTGGGAAGGGGTGTGGGCAGTGGGGTGATGCCAGTGTTACATGTTTAGGGAATCACCACGAATGAATGGACAGCCCCCGAGAGGGAGAGATGCCGAACAGGTTGAGAACTACATACTGAGTTTGTTCTCACCTAAAAGGGTGACTGTGCGTGTTGGGCACGGGGAAGGCTTTACGTGGGAATCTAGTGTGAAACAGAGTAGGTGCTTCCCTCTTGTTCCACAATTCCGCTGCCAGCCCCTCCTTTGGCGTGTAGATTCCGGTTTATGTCCGAGTCCGATCTCCTGGGAAACATTTCGGCGCCGGCCGAATCATTTTCAGGGTTTTTGTTGGCTCTGTTCTTTCCTGTTAGGTAAGAGCCTCCTTTAAAACATCGATTGTCCTCACACGTCCCCGGGCTGGAAGGCTGGCAGGCTGCAGGGTTTCCTGCGATTTAATGTCTGTCAGGTGGTAAGGTGGACAGGTGGCCTTACAGTCTCTGCCACGTCAGCACATAAGCTGTCAGAAGTTGCCAGAAGCAAGTGCTTTCATTTTCCATTTTTAAAAATAGATTTTTTTTTTTTTAAGAGAGATGAAGGGAGAGGGCTGCCTCTTTCACGCCCCCTACTGGGGATTGAGCCAGCAACCCAGGCCCTTGACCAGGAATCCAACAGGTGACCTTTTGGTGCTTGGGTCCATGCTCAGCTAACTGAGCACACTGGCCAGGGCAGCACGGCTTTTTAAAAACTTCTTTTAACAAACCAGAGAAGGATGACCCGTTCTGTCCTCCTGTGGGAAACGAGGGTCATACACATCGCTTGGCCGTGTCCAAACACAGCGGTCTCACGGTGGGTCTGCTGATGCCGCATCCTCCTGACTTAACTGTCAGCGGGTGGTGTCGGCGGACTGCTTTTTAAAGTGTAGGTTTTGCCAAAACCGGTTTGACTCAATGGATAAAGCATCGGCCTGTGGACTGAAAGGACCCAGGTTCGATTCCGGTCAAGAGCATGTACCTTGGTTGCAGGCACATTCCCAGTAGGGGGTGTGTAAGAGGCAACTGATCAATGTTTCTCTCGCATTGATGTTTCTAACTCTCTATCCCTCTCTCTTCCTCTCTGTAAAGAAATCAATAAAATATATAAAAAAAATAAATAAAAGTGTAGGTTTTGTGTTCCTGCAGAGGGTTCCAGGGACAAGGACGGTCTGAGTGCCCCCTGGCCGGACGGCACAGGAACGAGGCAGTGTTCCTTCCTCACTGTCCCGTCACCAGCCCTGTTTCCTGAACAGTTCTCGGTTTTACTTCTTTTTGGCCAGAGCTGCTCCTCTGTCCGCATCCCGGAGTCAAAGGCCCCTTTGTGCGTAACTGACAGCCTCCAGAGTCCACCCAGGCGCCGTTTTAGCGGCTCTGATTTCCGAAAGTGTTAGCACGGTTCCCGGCAACCCTGAGTTCAGAGACATTTTACACCACGTGAGTGTGTTTTCCTAAGCGGGTTTCGTTTTCCCTGAGTCCAGTTAGAAGCAGTGGGCCGCACCTCCTCCTGCCCTTGACTGAGAACTTGCAACCACTCGGAGTGGAAATGGGTGAAAAGTTATCTGCCCGCTGTGGTGAGCAGGGAGGCGTTTGGACGGAATTCAGCTTGAGGGACTGGTCGAACTAACATATCGCTTTCCTTCTGAAGGTGGAAGCCACCTTTGCCAATGCTGTTGATTTTTTTTTTTTTTAAATGAATGGGTTTCCTTAAGTGTCCATTTAAAAAAAATTAATTTCTTTATTGACTTAAGAGAGAAAGGGAAAGGGAGAGAGGGAGAGAAACATCAATGATGAGAATCATTGATCGGCTGCCTCCAGCAGGTCCCCTACTTGAGGATCGAGCCCACAGCCCATGCATGTGCCCTTGGCCGGAATCAAACCTGGGACCCTTCAGTCCTCAGGCCAATGCTCTATCCACTGAGCCAAACCAACGAGGGCAGTACTTTTGATTTCTACAGGGGCTGGAATCTCACCGTTCGCCTGTTGAGATCATTTCATATCCTCCAGGCCAGGGTCAATTCAAGTTTAATACTTACCCTTATGGTTTATTCTCTTAACAAAACAAAAAAAAGTTTGAATCTTTTAAAACATCCTTGTTGGCCTGGCTGGCGTGGCTCAGTGGTTGAGCGTTGATCTATGAACCAGGAGTCCACGGTTCGATTCTCAGTCAGGGATCCATCCCCAGTGGAGGGGTGTGCAGCTGGCAGCCGATCAATGATTCTCTCTTATCATTGATGTTTCTATCTCTCCTTCTCCCTTCTTCACTGAAATCAATAAAAATATTAAAAAATAAAGTAAAACATCCCTGTTGGTGCAAACGGTGCTCCGGTAACCGACCCAGCCCATCCCTGTACCACCTTCTCTCCCACACGCAGCCGGGGGCTGTTTTCCACTTCGGCAAGGTAAGTGCCCTGATGCCGTGGTTTGATTTTATTCTGTTCTTGGTGGGAGTCGAACAGGTGGGCAGAGGGGGTGTCGCCCGGTTGTCTGGATGCACCCGGAGAGCAGAGCATCCCCGGACCATTGGGAGGAGAGGCTTTCCTGTCATTGCGCCAGGTGGCCATGTCCCTGGTCCTAACCCCCTCCTCCCACTGCCTGTTAGCAGCCCCGAGCGTGCCTCTCGGAGCAGGCGCTGTGTGTGTGTGTGTGTGTGTGGTATTGCAGTGTCACTAGCCCACTTTGACTACGTGTGAACTATAACCTGCTCTAATACCTGTGTCCGGGCGGAGCGAAGCCGTTCCGGAGCAAGGCCTGCTGCACCAGGGGAGCCGCTGGCTCTCCTCCGGCTTCCGGTTGGACAGGAATTTGGAGACCAGGTTGAAAACAGGCCCTGAGCCGGGAACACCCAAGGCCGAGGGAGTGGCCCGGCCAGTGACCCTGGCAGCCTCTGCCACCGCCTGCCTTCCTCCAGCAGCCGGTGGAACGGCTCAGCAGCCCCCACCGCGCTGCCAGACGGAGACTGTGCGGCCACACCGGGGCCCTGGGTGAACAGACCGGCCCGGCGGCCCTGGCCGTGCAGGCAGGGCCTGTGGGCTCAGTGGCAGCTGCTGTGCCTGGCCTGGAGCTGCCCTGGCCACTGGTCGGGTGGACCCTTGGCTGACGCCTGTGGCCCGGGGAGAAACCCTGGCGCTGCTCCCGGCTCCCTGTTTGGCGGCGTTGCTCTGGAAACGGCGGCCTCCTCTGGACTTCGCTCTCGGGAGGGACTAGTCTCGGTGGCAGGGAGTCGGGATGGGTAGGGAGGTAACTAATTAACGAGGCTCTGCCTCCCACTCCAGGGACGTGGCTGGTGCCAGCCCCGGACACCACCACCGACAGCAGCAAAGGACTTAACGGGTGTCCTGGGGAGGGGCCTTCGCCCCGAGTCTCAGAGGTGCTGGCCCTGCAGGAGCAGCAGCTGCTGAGCTTGAGTGGATGCAGGAGGCGATGGCGGGGGGCACGCTGGGTGCTCCCTGGCTTTGCCCATCTCCTGGGTCCTGCTTGGCAGGGCGCGTGCCTTTCCCGTGTGGGCCCGGGCTGCCCGGCTGCCGTCTTGCTCGCTGCTGGAAGTGGCCGGGGCTGGACACAGAGCCCCTGTTCTGCAGGCGCCCGGCCTCTCGCCGCGGCAGGACAGGCGGCTGGACAGGCGGCTGGTGGACGGAGGAGGAGCTGGTCCTGCGCTCAGGAGGGCTCCTCAGCCGTAAACGGTGGGATTCTGCTCCCGCCGCCCTCAGCGCGTCACACACTAACTTGACTGCGTGCAGCCTTTGTCTCAGGGGCTGTGTGTGACCTGTTTTTCCAACGGCAGGTGGCCGACACATCCTCCCTGAGCTGGAGCACCAGAATCAAAGGCTTCATTGCGTGCTTTGTTGCAGGAATTCTCTGCTCTCTGCTGGTGAGATCCCCTCGCCCCGCCCCCTTGCCTTTGCCCCTGTCCCCCTAAGCTTGGTTCTTCTGGGCCACCCCCCTCCCTTTCTCTGTTGCTCTTCACAGAGACGCATGGGTGAGGGGAGTAGGGGGTGGGGTGGGTGGGAGGGGAGTGGGAGGGTGGGGGGCCAGGTTCCTCGGGGGGCCCTGGCTGAGGCTGGGGTGGAGATGCAGGCACCTCGCTTTGTCTTCCAGGGCACGCTGCTGCTCTGGGTGCCGAAGAAGGGGCTGTACCTCTTCGCTGTGTTTTACACGTTCGGCAACATCGCTTCGATCGGCAGGTACATCTGTCATCCGCCCTCAGCCGGCTATTCGGTGGGAAAGGGCTGTGCCTCATGGGGTGAGGAGGAGCCTGGAGGGATGGTGGGGGAGGAAAGAGGCAGTCAGGGTGCATCCCCCATGTCCTGTCCCTCCAGATATGTTTGCATTTCTTTCTTTTTTAAAAATATATTTTATTGATTTTTTACAGAGAGGAAGGGAGAGAGATAGAGAGCTAGAAACATCGATAAGAGAGAAACATCAACAAGCTGCCTCCTGCACACCCTGCACTGGGGATATGCCCGCAACCAAGGTACATGCCCTTGACCAGAATCGAACCTCGGACCTTTCAGTCCGCAGGCCGATGCTCTATCCACTGAGACAAACCGGTTTTGGCAGATATGCTTACATTTCACAGTTCCCCTTGGAGACTCCCTGGGGGGACACAGGCACGTTGTGCTGGGATGTCACACGCGGGGGACGGGCGCAGAGCCCTGAGGGTGGCCGTGCGGGTACGACGCAGCCTCCTGCGTGGTTCTGGTCCTCCCGCTGCCAGTGCTGAGGCCGTCATTTCACGGTGCGTGAAACTTGTTACTCAGAGCGGCACCCGGTCAGACCGGCTTGTGAGGGCCGGGCACCAGCCGTGTCAGGTGCTGTGGGTGCACAGGCACTCTGGGCCCCGTGTGTGCACGCTGACGCCTTAGCCTCACCCGTGGGCTGATAGCCCCAGGCCCGCCTGCAGCCAGGGGAGCGCTGCCTGACTCTCCTCTCTCCTCGCCTCCCCCAGAATCCCTGGTTCCACCCTTTCCCCGTCACAAGGCTCCGTCCCCTTTGTCCCTGTGGCCATTGCCCCTCAGGCGAGGAGCCTTGATCAGACCCTGCTGGGCTGTGAGCGTTCAAAGAGCAGTGTGGCTCGGTTCCTGCCACGGTGGAGCTCACTGGCCGGCCAGGGAGGAAGACAGACAGACAGACACACACACACTGATACAGAAGAGGCTCGGGGAGGGAGCTGACCTGGTCTGACCGGACCAGGGCCGGGGAGGGCTTCCTGGAGCAGGTGGGGCGCCAGCTGCTCCCAGTCTGCCCTGTGGCTCACCTGACGCTGCAGGAGTCCACCGTTCTGTCCTCTGCCTCCTCCATCGCCCCTGCCGGCCACTCCCTCATTGCCCCGCCGTCCTGTCCTCCACCTCCTCCATCGCCCCCTGCCGGCACCCCCTCACTGCCCCCTGAACTCCTCGGGGGCCCTGGTCCCTCTCTGCTGGTGGGGTCTAACCCGTCAGCTGCGTGCAGGCCGGGCCCTCGAGGGCTGCCTTCCCCTGCGCCTGGCCCGGGTACCAGAGGCTGACCCTCGGCCTTTTCCTGAGTCTCTGCTCAGGCTGCCTTCCTGCATGGGACGCCGCCCTCATGCCGCTCCTCTCCTCCCCTCCCCCCATTGGGCGGATACTCGCCAGACCTGGCTTCAGCGTCACCTCTCCGAAGAGATGCCTCCACCCCTCTCGATCAGCACCCTCTTCACACGGGCTCTGCGTGCCCGCCTGTGTTTGCGTGGTGGCCACACAGCGCGTCGTTAACGGCCTCGGCACCCGTCTGTGAGCCTCCGGGCTGCTTGTCCCTGACATCCCTAAACCAGCTGCTTCCGGCTGGAGTGTGACAAGGGGCTGTGCCTGCCTCTGGCCCCCTTCTTACAGTCCTTATGGAACGCTGCATGCAGGTGTCCCCTGTGTGTGCCTCTGAGCCCGCACGTGCTCCCGGGAGCTCTGCTTTGGGCAGAAGCACAGGTGGTGATGTAGAGTCCAGACTGAGCACAAGATCCAGCCTGTTGTTTAGTCCAGAGAAGCTGCTAGGAAACCCCGGCGGGACCAGCTCTGCAGCCTTGTGCGGGGGGACAGCGGGGAGCGAGGTGCTGCTTCCAGGCTGTGTCGAGGAGGTGGTGGCTCCCGTTAGTCTTCGGTGTTTGTGCTGCATTTAACTTCTGAGGCCAGCCTGGGCTGGGGCTTCGTGTTCAGTGTTGGCTAAATATCTGACCCAAGAGCACAGCCTTGAATTCCACTGAAACTAAATGGCAAATGGCATTTCAAAGAGAGGTGGGCTTACGCTTAAAATGTCTTTATTTTATATCAATAAAATAATAATCTGGACACTCAGTGTATATCCTATAGAATAAAAGGCTAATATGCAAATTGTCCCCTCGACCAGGAGTTCAACCAGCAGGCAGCCAGCCAACTGCCCATTTCCCCTCCCCTGACCAGGCTGGCTGGACCCCATCCATGCACAAATGCATGCACTGAGCCTCATATATACATATATATATATATATATACATACACACACACACACACACACACACACACACACACACACACACACTGTGTGGCCAGATTATAACGCGTTCAGAGATCATCATAATCTGGCCACTCAGTGTATGGATGCTTATGGCGTACAAATGGTTAAGTTACTTGAGTGTTTTTGGTTGGCTGTTCATTTCCAGGGTAGACTGTGAAGGAGGCACCTCTCAGAGAGGGTCCTCTCCCAGCGGAGGTGAGTGTGGCCCCAGAGCCAGCCCTCTGCACTATGGCCTCCGCCTCTACTGGACGGGAGGCGGGGATGGACCCAGCCCTGGGGGCTGCAGTCCTTCATCTGTTCCCGTGATCAGCCCGTTCGTGTGGATGGGTTAAATGAGGAGAGTGTAGGCAAGGCCCTTCCGCGCGTGCTGGGCACAAAGGAGGAGCTTTCAGACGCTGCCGTCGTGGCCGTGGTTGGGTGGCCCGGGGGCGGTGGGAGGCGGCGGTGCCCGGCGCAGGCTGTCGGGGCTGATGGCCTGTGTGTGTGTCCGCAGCACCGTCTTCCTCATGGGGCCGGTGAAGCAGCTGAAGAGGATGGTGGAGCCCACGCGTCTGATCGCAACCATCCTGGTGCTGGTGAGTCGCCTGTCGGCTGGGCGTTCTGCTCTGGGCATTTCTTCCCGAGCCTTTTCCTTTCCTCGTGACTTAGTTCCCGATGCCCGTGACCCTGCAGCACAGGGAGCATGCTCCACCTCAACATCACCCCACTTTGGGTTTCTGTGGGTGTTACAGTGCTGCCAGTTCTGTAAAGCACCCCCAGAGGGCGCTGCTTGTCAATGTAGCCAAAACGATAGGGTTGGTGAAGCCTCACAGCCATATGGAGGGAATCAGGCATAACGAGGGAGTCGCTGGGAGAGACCAGGTTCATTCTTGGGGAGGCAGCGGGAGGGAAGGGGGGAGGGGCTTAGTCTCGGGGGGTGGCTTTAACGTCCTGTGACTTTGGGGTCATGTTTGTTTCTGTAGGTCTTCCTTTAGTCGAGTCCTATCTCCCTGTCCGATAACCCAGAATGCCCGTCATGTCTTTGTGCCGTGCTCTTCCATGCGACCATCACAATCACCCAGACGGCTCTCTGGCCATCATCCGTGGTGTAACACTGGGAGCCTGGCAGCACACTGACTGTGTGTTCCTGCCTTTGTTCAGATGCGTAGGTTTTCCAAGGCCACGCCCACACTGCTGTCCATTTCGTGTCCTTCCAGAGCACTGGGCCAGTGCCGGACACACAGAAAAACTTACCTCTGGGGAAGTTACTGTGACGGAGGAGGAGGTGGCAGGCGTGCAGCCGCTCTAGCTCCTGCCATCCTCGCCGTCGAGGGTGAGGGGCCTGGACAGGTGTGTCTCGTAGAAAGAACTTTCTGAGAAGGGCCTAGAGGAAGTGTCAGGTGGCGGGGACACACACAGGTCCCCGGCTCGTCGCCTGTGAGCGTGCGTCTCGGGTTAACCTCGCCCTCACTTGGCTCTTCCACTCCAGGTGATGCTGGCAGGAGCTGGATGCAGGTACGGGTGAAGCCCGTTTACAGTTTGAAGGGAAATGTGGTTTTTGTTGGCTGGGCAGAGAGATTTTGGGGAAATTACAAAAGGATCCTTCTCTTTTTAACCCGCTGGGAACCTTATTGGTGATTTTAACTTTTCTGCGAACCGCGGGTGCTTGGGCGGTGACGTGCTCTGACATGAAGGATGCATTCGCTGCCGAGCCCATCCCGGGGTCTGCATCCGGCAGCTCGGGCAGTGCTGGTGTACGTTTGCCAAGAATGAGTCTTTATGGTTTTCCCCCTGTCGCCATTGTCGCCATAGTAACTCATCGTCGTTTCCTTTCTCTCTGCAGTTGTGTTTCACGCTCACCCTGTGTTCTGCCTTCTGGGTAAGTGTGTGTCTGCATTCTCCTGAGCCCCCGTGTGTGCGCCCGGCACCCCTGTTCACGGGACTGTCGCTTCCCTTTCAGTGGCACAACAAGGGGCTTGCCCTCATCTTCTGCATCCTGCAGTCTTTGGCCCTGACGTGGTGAGTGCCCTCCGCCAGCGGCCCTGCCCTCGGCCCCGGGTGAATGTGCAGAGGGTGCACCCCGCGTGCTGCGGGAGGCGGGCTGGGAGAGCACAGAGGGTTCCGTGACGCGGTGCAGCCTGTGACCGGGCGGTGCAGCCTGTGGTCAGCTGCTGCCAGCAGGTGGCAGGAGTGGCCCGGGGAGGCTGGCTGCCGGGCTCCTGCTTGATCTGGAGATGTTACTGCTCCTAACCACTCGTGTCCAGTGAGAGCGAGGGCAATGAAGTCTGACAAGGGCTGGTAAAAATAGTCTGTGAGTCAAAAAGACGTCGAAGACAAAGGAGAGTGGTAAGAAGGATAATGAGCGCTGCGTTGGGAGGGGATGACTCAGTCACAGAAGCAGGAAGAGGGAGCTGTCAGCGGGAGACAAGGAGCCCACTGACAGGCAACCACGTGGCTGTGGGTGGCCTCAGCCCCCGCACGAGGCCTGGAGCCAGGCCGGTGGAAGGGCCGCTGGGGATGTGGGTACCTGAGCCCACCGGGGGCTGTGGGCTCATGGCCCTGTCAGTCTGGTCCAGCGTCAAAGGGAGGTGGTAGTGGGGGAACGTATGGCGTCTGTAGCTTCTGGTCCTTTGGGGCCTCCCTGTACCCCCAGGGAGACGGCTGCTGAGGGGAGGTAGGGAGGAGAATGAGGGAGGGTCCCGTTGGGACATGACACATGTTTTGTAGCAGGCGCTGCATGGGTCTGGCGTGGCCGCTGATGTGTGTATTTCTGTTTTCTGGGGGCAGAAATGTGTACCCACATACATATGTCTGTCTTATATAGCTGTTCCCTTATCCGTGGGGCCATGTTTGTTCCGTGTCCCCCTGAAACCAGGGATAGTACCGAACTCTATACGGTACATACTAGGCCTTTTTCTGCACATGCCCACCTGTGATGAGGTGTCCTCAGTCATCAGGCACAGCACGTGGCTCACCACGGTAACTAATAAGATAGAGCACGAACACAGTTTAGACAATAAACGTTACGTGAATGTGGCCTCTCTCTGTGGGACCACATTGCCGTGCGGCCTCCCTGTGACCCCGCGGCGGCGAAGGGCCTGAGATCGGGGTGCCCCTCCTCACGGGAAGGAAGCCTTCCGGCTTCTCCACGGCGGATCCGAAGCACAGCGCCAGGTCCTGCACTCGGGCCGTCGCTGAGGGAAGTGAGGGACCCGGGCACCAGCCTGCGGTTCTGAAGGCTGAGCCGGTAGCTCGGTGGCTGTCGGGTGGGACAGCGTGAAGATTCACGTCCCGATCGGGACAGCGTGAGATTTCATCACACGATTCAACACACAACTTAAAACTCAATTATTTCTGAGATTTTCCATTTAGTATTTTGGACCACAGTTGACCACGGATAGCTGAAACCGTGGAAAGTGAAACTTTGGAGACAGGGCAGGAGGGACGGCTGTGGACTGCTGCTAAAGCCAGTGTTCAGAGGTCCCGCGTCCCTGTGGGCTCAGGCCAGGGCCTCCCCGTTGCTCTGATGGTTAGCTTTTCCTAGGGCTCTGTCTGCAGGCCTTCCTCAGGGTAGGGGCACGGCTGCCTGGGGACACCAGGTGTCTTTGGACTTGGGTTTGAAGAACCAGAGCTCGTTTATGTTTTCATCCATAGAGTAGTTGGTACTGGGTTTTATGTTTTCCTGTCCTTTCTAGTTTCAGCAGTAATTGGAGCAGAGCGGGCAATTCCTCCCAGTGGTGGGAGTTGTGTGCTGTTGAGGATTTATAAAATATGAGAGGACAGGCATTCTCTCCAGACAGGGCTCTGTGCCATCAGGATTTCTGGATCTGCCTGTTTGAGGGGACCCTGCTGGCTCAGCGGGTCAGATCGGTCCCGTATGAGCCTGAGGTCACACGGCTTGTCTCCACCTAGGCGGGTTGCCTTCCTCCTTTGGACACAGATGACACTCTCCTCCCTCCCCCAGTATACGGTGGAATAGTGTGTGTGCACGTGCACATGCGGGTGCGTGCACAATACTATGTGTGTGCATGTGTGTGCACGCGCTCATGTGCGTGTGTGTGTGTGTGTGTGTGCGTGCGTGCGCTCATGCGTGTGTGTGTGTGTGTGTGTGTGTGTGTGTGTGTGCCCTCGCACCCTTCACCCCAGGATCCCATAAGTCACTGCAGGTGCCCTTACAGCGCAGAAGCCCGTCCCGCTGAATGGTCTGCGCCCCCGTTTAACTTGACCTTCTGTTTGTTTCTCTGTAGGTATAGCCTCTCCTACATACCGTTTGCAAGGTAAGTCTGCTTGTGAGGACGTGGCCTTGTCACTGGGGGGGTGTTGATGTGTGTGCACAGGACTGTGGGAGGAAGTGTTTTCAGAGATTGCCTGTTCTTTCATCTTTCCTGAGCTGTGAGACAAGCGGGCAGGTTGTATACTATTTATAGGTCAGTGAGCTAAGGTCACCCCCGCCCATACAACGGCGATGGGCATCGGCCAGGCCACCTGCACGTTTTGCTGCGATCTGTTGCGTGTGTGGCCATGCCCACCCATTAGCTGGCAGCTTTGAGTACCACTTCCATACGCCTGAGCCCGAGGTGGAGGGATCGGAGTGCGTGCTGTCTTCCTGCAGTATCACTGGGGGCGATTCAGGGAGGAGTCTGAAGGGGAAGTCAGCTGGCCAGGTTCCTGGGAGAGGGCGACCTTGGTGACCTTGGCAGCCCGCTGCCCCTCCGGCCTCAGGCTCGTTGACGACTCAGTGGTTGGCCTTTCAGCGCTAAAGCTCTGACTGCAGACCTCCTTACATTGGCACCGTGCGTGGTCTGCCTCTGACCCTGCTCCCATGTCACCATTTAATTTCCAGTCCTCTCTTGTTAACCAACACGTGTTTCCTCAGCTGTGCTGATAAAAAGAAAAATGGTGTGTGAGCAGGGCAGCAGGCTTTTGTCGGGCGCCTCCCAGGTCCGTTTGACGGTGACGGGGACGCCGGAGTGAGGGGACGAGAACGTAGAAGCCCCCGGCCGCGTTCACGGCGGCAGCGGCTTTGTGAAGGGCCCCGCCTTCCAGGCCCCGTGTGACCTGTGCATGTGAGCTGCTCTCACACGGAGCACCTCCTGGCCACAGGCAGAGCAGAGCTTAGGGAACGTTCTAGAATCATCTTGCTGTTAAAGCACATGGGAGTACATGCCCTCACCGCCCTGCAGCGGGCACCCTGGGCCGGGCACAGGTGCCGCTGGGAATGGGCAGGGCTGGGTAGGGCAGGGCTGGGTAGGGCAGCGGTAGGTTGAGTGCCATCTTCCCGTTTGGCCCTCACTGGTGCTGGGAGCGGCCGGCGAGAGTCTGCTGTAGGGCCCCGGGCAGAGCTCCTGGCCAATGGCGTGCCGGCTGCTCACTTAGAAGGGAGGAACCCGAGCGGCTGTTTTGCTGACAGCATGGACCTCATTCTGTGACCCTGGTCGCTAGAAAGGGCACCCTCCTGGCGGGTCCCTTGGTTCCTGATGGGCTGTACCTCCTTCCTGCCTTTTCCTTTGATCGTCACGATCGCTGGCTGTCATTGAGCACATTCCTACTCCATTCAACGCCCTCCTTCCCGCTGCCCGGTCAGGAGGGTGAGTGGGGTCACCCCTTCTCACAGACGAGACATTTGCAACTCAAACAAGGCAAGCGACCTGCCCAGGCGGTCTGACCCCCTGCCTGGTGCTTGCTGCTCTGTAAAGTGCTACTCCGGGTGCCAGGAGGCGGACAGGAGCCGGGTGACGTCTCCGTTCACCTCTGTTTCCTCCTAGGGACGCGGTGAAGAAGTGTTTCGCGGCCTGTCTGGAGTAGCAGGCGGCACGGCGGAAGGAAGCTTCGGAAGGAAGCTGGCAGACGCTTTGTAGATGCCTTCACACCTCTCGCTCACGGACACCGGCCTTTCCTCCTCGGCAGTGGGTTCCCGCGATCTGACCGTGCACGGACGCGCCGGGCGGCCCGCTGTGCCAGCCTGTGTCTGCAGCGCAGCGGGGCCTCTCCTCCTCGCCCTCCGGTGACAGCGGTGTTTCCGAATCTGCACGGCGGCCCCGGCAGATCCCGCCGGCGGGGATGGGTTTAACGTCCGCCACGCCTTTTCTCTTGGGGCTGCCAGCTTCCTTTCCTCCTGACCTCCTGACCTGGAACTGGATCGGGAACGGAGCCCCGGGGAAGACACGGCTCTTGCTCTGGGAGAGCCGGCAGGAGGCGAACATGTTTGCTGTCCTCTGCCGTGTTTCCTTCCTTCGTTTCCCTCTGGAGTGGAGCCTGGGGAGGGGAGGGGGAAGACAGCCCCAGGCGCTTGAGCCCGCCGGAGACACTGGAGAAGGCGCCGGGGGCTGCGGGCAGACCCCGGATGGCCACCTCCACGCGCTCTCTTGTCTGGTCTTGTCTGGGCCTCACCAGCCTCGTGGCTGAGCAGGTGAGGAAACCGAGGGTCAGGGAGATTACCGGTTTACCCAAAGCTATGGCTGGTGGCAGGCAGCGCCGAGCCAGAGCGGGCGCCTGGCTCAGCCTCTCTCAGGACCCCGTGGTTCCTGGGGTGGCCCTGGGGTGCTCCTGGGCCTGGGTCCCTGCTTCCCTCCGCAAGCCTGCAACACCCGGTCCTGAGCTCCGCCCCTGCGGTGGCCCCGGCCTGTCCCCTGTGGGAGGTGCCTGACCTTGGCCTCTCTGTTCTCTGTCCTGGAGCCGTGGCTGCCCGGCCATCAGAACGTCCCGTCGTGGCCCCGCGCTCTTGGCATTGAAGGACCTCGGCAGTCTGCCGGGTTTTCTGTCCTTGCCCAGCTCGGGCCTCTGCTCAGCACCTCCACGCCGAGGCCATGGTGGTCCCCGGCCGTGGCCGTGGCCGCACTCCTGCCACTGAGACCCCGGCCGGCCACCTTCCCTCTGCGCTGGGAGGCCTGAGCGAGGCCGCCGTGCCGCCCCGCCCCCAGCGGGAAGGGACGCTGACGACACCCTCTGGCTTTTAGGGTCCCGGTGCCCCTGGGAGAGTCCAGGTCTCTGAAGGGCTCGGCGCCGCCTCACGCCGCCCAGGGTGTGTAGATGGTGGTGGTGAGTGTGGGCGTTGATGGCAGGCCCGTCGGGTGGGAGCTGCGGCTCTGTCACTGCCATGTAGAACCAGTCAGCTAGCCTCTGGCCCTCAGATTGCCCCTGTTTAACCACCCGGAATAGGTCTGCACTGGCTGTGGCCGGACAGGGCCTAGCGTGGTGGTGGGTCTCGACCAGCGTTACTTAATCCCAGAAATCGCCGATGCCGTGGAGGTGACGGTGCGCGTCTCTTGCCGCTAACTCGCCTGAAAGCTGTGCCCCTGCAGTGTGCCTGCGCGGCAGCTGTTGCCTGTGCGCTGTCATTAGTAGTCACAGTGCCTGGCCCGGGGAGGCCTCGGCTGTGGGTCCCACCAGGAGGGGCAGCGGCTCTCGCAGCGAAGCTGCTTCCCCCCCTCTGTGGCCGGGGCCTGTTGGCTCGACTTCCATCAGGACACGTGGGCAGCGAGGGTGTGGCGCTGCCGTCCAGGACCTTCCGGAACCCTGTTTCTCCTGCTCCGCCTGTGCTTTTTTGCTGCTTGTTTCTGTGGGAGGAAGACGTCCGTTTCAAATTTGCTGAGCACCGTTCCCAAGCAACTGTCGGTTTCCAGCCGCCTGGCGGGTGGGAGACGGGCGTGGAGAATTGGGGTTTCAGACCCGGGGCTGTAGGGCTCTCCCTGCTCCCCGCCTGGCGTGCTCACTGCCGGGGGAGAGACCATAGCGTTTGGGAGCGGAGGGGACCACTGAGGTGACGCCTGCAGACGGGATGTGCTCTCCTGAGGGCACAGTGCCAGCTGGGTGCAATGGGCCCTGCCCCCCTCCTTCCTGGTCCTGTACCCCAGGCCGCTGTGCTGGGAGGTGGGGAGCAGCTGGCCAGCAGGCTCCCGGCCTCTTCCACGCCTCACAGAGCCTGCCTTCCACCCCATCTCCCTCTCAGAGACAGTCCTCTCTGCCTCTGGTCTTGGCTCCTCGTGTGGCTGTGCCCCGGCCATGGTTGCCAGGCCCGCCGGCTCCTCGCCCCCCTCCCGAGCAGGTCGCCTCGTCCCTGGGAGAGCAGAGCTGCCCCCCGCGGAGCACTGTCACCGTGCTGACCAGGCTGAGGAGCTTCTGTCCCGCCGGTGGGGCGACTGGGGGCTGTTCACCTGCGTGACCCTCCCTCCCACCCACGCTGTGTGTGCTCTGAACACCATGGAGAAGGGGCGTACCTTAAAAAGAGGGTGAAGGGGTGTGGGCAGCTGCTCTGGCTGCGTCCTGCTTGGGGAGTGCCATGGGGGACAGCTGTTGCCACGAGTGGTGAGACCAGTGGAATGAGTAGGAAACGGCTGCAGGGCTGTGGCCCGGGACCCCTCTCTGGGGGGCAGCGGCAGCGCCCCGTCCCCTCCCCTCGGGTCCCTGCTGCACGGCCAATCGGTGTGCACCCTTACAGAGCCACCTGGCTTTGTTTCTGATACCGTTCTGACTACAACCCAAGTAACCTTCAATGCGGACATGTGCATAGTTTCTTTGCAGATGCTATTTTTGTTAATGCTTACAGACCTTCCACTGAAGCTAAATGCAGGTTTATATCCAAGAGTCTCTTGATAAGACATTAACAAACGAATTTAGATTAGGGTGACTGGTTGTCTCGCTTTTGGTGGGACAGTCCTGATTTTTAACAACTTGTCCCGCATCCCGGGACGCGGGACAAATTGTTAAAAATCGGGACGTCTGGTCACCTTAATTTAGATGTAGAAGTCCAGGTTTCTTTGGGAGTCCTTACTTAAAACATCGGAGGTTAAATTATGTGTTTCCAGCACCTTCTAGCACAACACCTGATGGGATGCTGAGATCTCGCGGGTTTTATTGGAGGAAAGAGGGAAGGTGCTGTGCAGTGTGTTTAGTCCCAGTTCATGCACAATAAGGGGTGTCTCCCCTTTGGGGCGCCTTCCAGCTCTGCCCCGTGCATGGCTGACCCCCGGCGTGCACCAGCGAGCTCCTGGGGCGCCAGGGGGCCTCTCGCTCCAGGGCCGGACAGGCCAGGAGGCCAGCGGGAGCCGCAGAGCCTGAGTGCGTGGACGGAGCGGGATCACCTCCCTGGCAGGAGCAGGCCTGCTGGCAGCGGCTCGGAAACGTGTGGACTGTCCTGTCGGACGAGCTAAGAGCCAGGAAGATGGGTCCCTGCCACAGGAGGGCCCGGCTCTTTGAAGCCACAGGTCGTCCATAGCGATGTGATAGATCAGCGACTTCACCCTTTTCCTCACATGGCACAAACTAACTGCTAAAATTCTGTGGCACACCAACACGTTTTTTTTTTTGTTGTTTTTTTTTTTACAATTTGACCCCCTCTCTCCCCCCAAAAAAAAGAATAGGTGTAATTTTGATTCATTCATGCTGGATGACTGTTGTGTTGGCTGTTGTCAGTTTTTATTTGGCGTTCTGCGAGAGAAGAGACCCATACCCAGGCTGCCCAGTCAGGTGGTGCACGTTTTAAAGTTCTTTTGCACCGGGTGACAGTCAGTGTGCTAACAATACCAGAGTGTCCTTCATAGCAGAGTGTTGGCACCGTCTCTAATGCCTAGAACCAGGGAAGGTCACAGGTCACTGCATCTAATGCCCAGAACCAGGAAAGGTCACAGGTCACTGCATCTAATGCCCAGAACCAGGAAAGGTCACAGGTCACTGCATCTAATGCCCAGAACCAGGAAAGGCCACAGGTAGAAGCTCCCTGATGAGAACGGGCTGCCGCACCGAGCATCCTGCATCCTGCCAGGCGTCCTGGGACCACGCAGACAGGTCTGAGCAGGTGCGGCTGCAGCAGGACACCGGGCTGGCAGGGGGCAAGGAGGCCTCCAGAAGTCTGGACGAGCCTCCGTTTGTGAAATGTCCTCCAGGAGAATCTTATCTCGCAGCTCATCTCACCTTTCTGCCGTGACACACGTTTACTTTGCCTTCCGCATATTTGCTTGACTTAGCCGCTTAGAACAAGGAAAGGAAACACAAAAAAAAACCCCATCTGGACGCGTACTTTTTGCTGCATTTGTAAAATGGATGGTGAGGGTGGGGGTGAGGATGTTCGGAAACCCGTGGAAACTTCTGTGCCTTCAGAACATTGTGCCTGTTCAATGTGATGAGCTTTTAAAACACTTTGTTAAAACGTGATTCCGTTTTTTTGTAATTGTATAATCAACACTTTTGAATGTTACTGATTGCATCACTGAACTTTTTAATATCCAAAAAGGTTTGTGTGTGTGCTCCTTTTCCTACCTTGAGACTATTTCATACAGTAAAGATTGTGCTCTTTTTACAAGCTCATTTCAGAGAGAGAGTTTTGCTGGTATAAGCTATTTCATACTCCCCCCCCCCCTCCAAAAAAAAAAAGAATCATAAAACTATTCTTTTTTTGTTTTGCTTTTTTCCCTTCTTTAATAAATGATAACGTTATGATCTTTAATAAAGCTAGTGTTGCCTCTTATTCTTGTTTGTATTTCAGGAGTCACTACACCAAATGATGCTTGTATGACTATAAGGAAAGTCCACGCCTTTAATATGAATCCTTCGTGGGTAGCATACATGGTAGGCGCTTCCCGATGTTCATTAAGCTGAGTGGATATGTGGTCCTCTCTTTCAGAGGCCCTGCGGATGGGTCTAAGGACGGTTTTGAAGGTGTTTGAGGGGTAAGCTGTTTTGGGGCAGTTCCTATACACCTAGCTTGTTTAGTCACATTCAATAAACTAGGATTGTCAGATTCATTAGCATAAAGTTTGTAATTTTTAAAAATTCTTTTCATGTCTATAGGATTTGTAGTGTCCCGTCTT